GCATACCTGGGGCGATAAAGAGGTGTCGTTCGCCGACTTCACCTCAGGTCAGCCTACAGTCCGACCTAGCTACCAGAAGATCATTTCCACTTGCCGAGAGGCTATCAGAGAAGGCATCGACTACGCATGGATAGACACATGCTGTATCGACAAAAGCTCTAGCGCGGAGCTTTCCGAGGCAATTAACTCTATGTTCGCTTGGTATCAGAAGTCAGTCCGCTGTTATGCGTATCTTTCTGACGTCCTGGCAGCCAACATGGACCAAGACTTACCTAAGAGTAGATGGTTTACACGGGGTTGGACACTCCAGGAATTGTTGGCCCCAACAACGGTGATCTTCTACGATCAAGAGTGGGTTAACCTCGGCGATCGGGATTATCACCACAAGCAGATATCGAAAATCACAGGAATACATTGGCGGGCTCTAAGGACTAATCGGTCGTTAGTGGTCGATGATAACAAATTTGGTTCCTATTGCGTCGCAACGCGGATGTCATGGGCTTCTACGAGGCAGACGACACGTATGGAGGACATGGCCTACTGCCTCCTTGGGATATTCAACATCAACATGCCGCTTCTGTATGGAGAAGGTGACCGGGCATTTCGTCGTCTCCAGGAGGAGATTATACAGAAGAGCGATGATGATTCCATCCTTGCCTGGGCTCTATCGTCAGAGGACAAGTACCCTAGTACTCTAGGGCTTCTGCCAGATGGCGAAAAGCAAAATTTCTGCAATACAGTTGAAGTCGACTTTTTGGCTCGCTCACCAAAAGACTTCGCAGGCTGTGGAGACTTATCTCGCGCTACGGAATCTTCCACTCTGTTCACGTTAAACAATACGGGCCTGCAAATCCAACTGCCAGTTCTTTCGGTTTTTAAATGCAGCGAGTATCACTGTAACAGGATTAGAAGTTTAAGCAGTCTATGGATCGGGCTACTTGGTTGCTCCATACCGTCAAGTGGAAACTTTCTAGGTATCATACTGAAACCGGTCGAAGACGAGGGTAATTCCAGAGCAAGAGTGATTCGACAAAGGACAACCTGCAGCACTGTTGTCGTTAGTCCAAGACTCGCTTTCGGTTCGGTCAGTAAAACATTGACGATTGTCGGACTTAACGGGTTCCAAGAACCTCGAGACTATTACTACGAGCGCAAAGAACGGGTTATTGTCAACGAATGCGAAACTATCCGTAGTCTCGGTTACCAACTCCAGGCCTTTAGTGCATGGAAGTTTTCTGGGTTTGGAGGACCACTACTGGCTTACCATCCGCTTTGGGATCCAGAAGCCAAGATTTCTACCCTACCTGACTCTGACCCGTTTGGCAGTTTGTTCGCATTCAGCTTCGAAACATCGTCAGGTGGTCAAAATCCCAACTTCACTGTCTTTGTTAACGGGAGTCGTAGAGGTACGATAAGGGAAGGAGATAATTTTTCAGAAGATGAAAGGCTTGCTGTCTCCGTTCTTCTCGAGGACGACGGCTATCGGCCTTATGACAACGATCGGGTCTATGTCAAGGGCGACTTTTTGGTAAATGACAGCGAAGGATGCCCGTTTCATATCAGCGTTGAGGTCCACACTAAGGCCATAGGCAAGTACGTGCTGACTATGATTAACGTTGATGCTATAAAAGATGGCATTTCGGATGAGGAACATCGTTGGAGCTGTAAGTGCGAGAAGAGTATAAAGGCGCATTGAACTATACTCAGTATGCATTCTCGCTAATTGTAACGTCGTGCTGTCCAAGGTGTACACATGTATCAGCGATTACACGTAGTTGTAGAAGACAAGTTTCGCCATCACATGAGCCAAAAGTAAAAATTAAGACGGCCGACAACCCACACTATACGTGGCTGTCAATGGAAGCGAGGCCTGTCATCCGGCACCGATATGTCATGGTCATACTTGAGATAGTCGAGCAGTATGACAATGTTCGTATCACCGTGGGTTTTACCAATCTCCGGCCATGATCTTAAGTCGCCAAGCAGCTGGAAATCTACATCCGCGATGGCGTCTGCCAACAGTACCTAGGTAGACACACATCACGTGCTCGCGGGTCTGAAGCGCGAATCCAAGGCACGCGCAGGATAAAGCCTCGGCGGCCTGCGAACATTGAATTGCATTCTCGTGAGTGTACCTCCAGACAAATCCGCGCAACCGCCTATCCTCCCAAGTGGACCCACGTCATCGGCGCATTCCTCGGCGCGTTCGCTAACCACGTTTGCCCCGCTCTAAAAGCCGCATCTCCACTCTCACCTCCAAACCACGCGATAAGAGCCGTTGGCACTGCCAGCGCGCGATAGCTTCGGAAAGCTATCAGCGCCCCGCCCGCCTTCCTGTTTACGATACCAACAATACTCTTGACGCCGTTTACGTACACGCGCAGCGCGCGTAAGGCGTGCCGATGATGCTGGCCAGTCAGGCTGAAGGGCCGAGTGCTTATCAGGAAGATGGCGGTTTTGATGATTGTTGATCCTGGTAGCATCGCAGACACCGAGTTGTCTTGTCGTTGGATTGAAGACGGGTTAGGGAATGGATCGGGATCATGACTCTGTGCCAGTGGAGATTATGTCTTGGAGATCAATCGATTCGGCAAAGGGTGAAGTGCCGCCGACGTATAAAGCTCGTAGGCCTGCAGCTGTATGGAGCTTCATCACGGACTTTCGCCAACCCCCGGTTTGGACTTTTCGTGGACAAGATGCGCTTCTCTCGGTCGATCGGCGTCGCGTCCTGCATTGTCGCTGGTGTGCAGGCTGCTGTTTCTTCAACTGGATTCACGGTTTCCTTGACTTACATCGATTACTTCCTGCCACCAAAGCCAATTGCGAAGATATCGAGTTGCGAAGAGATTCAGGCGTCGTTCGAAGATGCTCCGTTTGTGCCGTTCACAGTTGTGAAGGCCCATGGCAATGGTGTGGATGTCGCGTCGCTTACAGCAAGTTACGCGCATGATGATGTATGGCAAGAAGGTTTCATGGACGGTATGCAACCAACTTCACGTTCTTGAGACCCTCGCTAATCACATCTCCCAGCCATTTACGTCCAGGGTAGCGATTCCAAGCCAATGAACTCTTCATTGACCATCCTATCCGGCACCGCATCCAAGGAACTAGCTCCGGGGCCCTACTTCATCAACGCCGCTGGTCATGTCTATGAAGCATGGAGACTGTTCTCTGATATGCAAGGCGCTTTCACCGAGTCTGCAATCGCGAACGGTGACGGTTCATACTCGGTTCTGCCCGCGGGTACCGTGGGCCAAAAGCATGCCATCGCCGTGCCTTCGCGGTTGTACTTCACCAAGACAGCCGAAAAGCCTCTGGCTGGTGTGCGTATTGGTATCAAAGACATCTACGGTAAGATACACCGGCACCGCGTAGGCTATGGTTCTTGAGCATCGACTAACAAGAACCGTAGATATCAAGGGCCTGCGAACCTCCAACGGAAACCGAGCTTGGTACTGGCTATACCCTCCTGCAAATGCAACTGCGCCGCCCGTCCAGAACCTGATCGACGCAGGAGCGATCATCGTCGGCAAGATGATCACCTCGCAATTTGCCAATGGTGAGACCGCAACGGCTGACTGGGTCGACTACCACGAGGCTTTCAATCCCCGTGGAGACGGCTACCAAGACACCTCCTCCAGCTCTTCCGGTGGTGGTGCGGGTACCGCATCCTACTCCTGGCTCGACATCAGTCTCGGATCCGACACCGGCGGCAGCGTGCGCGGCCCGTCGCAAGTCCAAGGTCTCTACGGCAATCGCCCCTCTCACGGATTGGTGTCTCTAGACCACACCATGCCACTGAGTCCCGTTCTCGACACCCCCGGCTTATTGGCGCGCAACCCTCAAATCTGGATGGAAGCAGCCCAAGCGATGTACGGCCCCAACATCACCATCACAAGCAGCTACCCAACAAGCATCCGAACCCTCGGCTGGCCCACCGAAGTCGAAGACGTCGCCGACCAACTCCTCATCGACTTCCTCGGAAACGTAACCAATTTCCTGAGCGCCAACGCCACCGCCTTCAACGTCACAGCCTCTTTTGACGCTGCGAATCCGGATGTCGCACCTCTTACGGTCTTACAGAACCTCACCTACGCTGTCCTCATCACAAAACAGCAAATCGAGCTCGTCCGCGAACCTTTCTACGCCGACTACGCCGAAGTCCACGACGGCCGCCTTCCGTTCGTGAACCCTGTTCCGCTAGCACGCTGGGGCTGGGGCGACAACCAGACTATCACCGTCGAAGAGGCCGTCAACAACAAGACTATCTTCCAGACCTGGGCTAACGAGACTTTCCTCGCCCCTTCACCAGAAACCTGCTCCGAGTCCCTAGTCATGTACGTCGGTTCCACCGGCGGTACCACCTACCGCAACACGTACTGGGACGAGCCCGGCGTGCCTTTTGGGTTCGGCAACAGCCGCATCTCGGTTATGGCGGAGGTGCCGGATTATGTTGTCCCGTTGGGTGAGGCGCCGTATAACTCGACGATTACGGGACATGTGGAGTATTTGCCTGTTACGGCGAATTTGATGGCGGCGAAGGGGTGTGATGGCATGCTGTTCTCGCTTATTAACGAGCTGTATGAGGCGGGTATTTTGAAGGAGAGTAAGGTTGGACAGAGTGGGGTTACGGGTGGGGAAATTTTGTTGAGGAGGGATGGGCTATGGTGAAATGTTTGTATGTAGTGCAATGAAAGAAGCTCAAATACACTCTTTCACCCGTGTTCGTCACAATCCATCCACAACCTTACCCTAGTCATGCCGTTTTCTGGCTCTCTTCTTGGGAATATCTGCTGCGCTTCATTGCGATTTCAGTCACAAACCAAGCGAACTTGCACACGGTTGTCGAGCGGAAACAGTGACGAAAGTCTGGGCAAGCTCGTTAGAAAATCTATTGTGCGATGCGAGAAGAACTCTATTGATTACCTCATGCTCAAAGAGGTTGTACCAGTAGCTCATTTCAAGCCCTTTGCCATCGTTCTCCATGTGATTAGTCAGGATCAAAGCGGCGCAACGAGATTGCCGTCAACGGCGGGTGTTGGATGTAGAACGCCAGGGTTGAAAGCCAAAGTGCGGCCGTTGCTATCGGAATGAGCTTTATTCCGCTCTTGCTGATCACGAAAAGCCGTTCCTTCCTCCCACCAAGCTGTCAATGTCGCTATAAGCTCCTTTGTCTGCGGATGCTCGTCACCCAACAGTCCTCTTGAAGTCACGGCTGCCTCGTGTAACTTATCGTATGCGTCGAGATGGCTATCCATGGCTTTGTAGGTCAGAGCGAGGTTGAATGCTACCGCGATCAAGCGCTCGTCCGCTAGATACGTAGGCGGTGACTTCTTCATCTGCGAATAGAGCGCTTCCTGTCTTTTCTTGGCCTCTTCGTAGTCCTCGCTGCTTTTTGCGAGATCGAACAAACACGATGCAAGATTTGATTGAACCAGGAAAAGGAATGCTGTCTCGTGCGACAGTGTTTCTGGGCGAAACTTCAGAATGGACGAAGTGTCCCTCTCGAGACCCAAGTATAGGTCTTTAGCCTCTTTGAGTTTTCCAGCGGCTTGTAGGATCTGAGCCAGATCGTTCTTCGAGTTGCGAGTGAGGCTGTGATCTTCACTGAACTTCTCTCGCCGTCGGTTGTAGACCATCCTCTGCTCTTCTTCTGCACTGTCGTACTTCCCCATATCGAGATGAATCAACGCATGTCTCACCCGGCTACGCAGGACAATAGGATGGCCATTAGCGTCCGCACTTACTGAACCGTAGAGTCGCTTTTGGTCATCGATAACTTTGTGCAACAGGTCGTCCGCTTCTTGGAAACGGCCCAGTGAGTCATAGATTCCAGATAGCGTGTATCTTGAGATGACTGTGTCGGCGTGGCCATCGCCCAATAAATACTCCTGCGTCCTCAAAGTGATTTCTTGTTCGTCGAGCGCCTCTTCCCACTTTCTCAGCCCGAATAGCGTGACAGCATACTGATGTCTAGCAACTAGATAGTCCGGATGGTCTGAGCCAAGACATTTCAGTCGTTCCTCCATAACAAATCGTATGAGAGTCAGGGACTCATTAAGCAGTCCCTGCAGGCGATAGTTAACAGCAATGTCATAGTTGATGTTAACGGTGAGACGGTGAGTCTGGCCCAGTTCCTTATTCAAGATGGTGAGTAATCTGTCCAGCATATCGTGCACGAAGTTCAGATCCGCATCATCACGGACCTGCTCGCAGAGCGCTAAACAATGGATAGTGCGTATCAAGGATGGGTACACGTGGAACGGCTCTGATCCCTGAAATGGGTCGGGGAAGCCCTGTTCGATATGTTGCTCGATACCACGACGGAGACGATCAGAAGAGAAAAGCAATTCCTTGAGCTCTTTCTTCTTGAATGTCACGCCCATAAATTCCGTAAGCGGGTTGTGTATATCGTCAATGTCTGGGACTGGTTCGACGTCTCGCATGTAAGATTGTGTCCGACTTAAGAGAGGACGCAGATGCCCTTCTCCCTCTGTTGGGTCTCCATACTTGTTCAATTCATGCAGTAGGATGTCGATGACCTTTTCGTGTGCCGGGTCCCACTCTCCCTTGGTGCGAAGGATCGTTGCTAACGTAACGCCAAAATAGGAATTGGTCTTTTCCTGATCCACGATACTAAGCGCAATTGTTTTGGCCTTATCCCAGTCACCGATTGCTAGCAGTACCTCAGCCAGGATGGCTCTTGATTTGAGTGTTTGGGGATGCGCGTCGCCGAGGTCCTCACTCTTTGCACATCTGTCCACGAGGTAGAGTGCGGTTTCTTTCGCGTCCGAATAGCGCCCATCGCTCTTGTACATCAGTACAAGGGTCTGCATAGCCTGCAAAGTTGATGGATGGGATTCGTCTAGACGTTCTCGCATCTGCCGAAAAGTCGAAAGAACTTCTTCCCCGGCATCTGTTGGTTTGTTGTCATACACAAGCAGCCAAGCGCGTAAACTTGCTGCATCAAGTGTTATAATATGCTGTGGTCCAAGTCGATGCTGTAGGTCCTTGAGTACCTCTTCATTGGCAAGATTGGCATCGGAGAGCTTCCCCATCTCGGATGATATGCGGGCGTGATTGTACAAGCATGTGTTTACCACGTCCTCACAAATGTCCTGTTTTGCAATTTCGTATGGAACCTCATCAGTGTTCTGTTTCTGGAGATTTTCTCGATGACCGCTGTGGTGTTTTATGATTCCTTCGGCAAGATGTATAGCCTCTTTGCTCAGCTGCCACGCGTGTCTGAAGGCGCCACTAGATGCAAGCACAAGGGCCCATGTACTCAGGAGCGAAGGTTGAGGGGCGTTCTCGAACCGTTGGCAATATCTCCGGATAGTGGTCCTGGCGTCACGAGTTCGTCCCTGTTTCAATTGCGCCAGTGCTATGCCTTTTCCAGTGTCACCAATCAGCTTAGCATCTGTGTCCGTGTCTGCTGCCTGTTCTATCTCACACTGAAGGTCTTTGAACATTCCCTCGGCGGATTTGTACTTTCCGTTGAACCAGGTGATCTGAGCAAGGCTAAGGCGCAGGCGAAAGTAACTTTTACTCTTGTGTGAGGATGGATAGCTCCGGACAAGAAATTCGAACCGAGTTTTAGCATTTGCGAAATCGCCCCGGTAGTAGTATTCAGATGCGACGTTCTTGAAGTACTTCAAATCTTTGTCTTGTAGATCGACGATCGCGCGAACCGGTGCGTCGCCCTGCTTGCCTGCTTTCCCCCGAACGTTGTCTTCAGATTTGAAGTCAGGAGGTATCGACTCGATGATGTGTCCGCTCTTCTTTATCTGATTTACTTTCGATGAATTCTGCGAAGGCTGGATCTGTGGCTTTTGAAGCAATTCTGCAGGCTGAACCGCATCCGCCCACAAGGTTGCGGAAGTATCGGTCTCCGATTTCATCAGCCCTCCTTTTTTGCCCAATGAAGTAAGATGTGCGTCAGATATAGCCTGACTAGCTTTGGACGTCTCTATTTGTTGGTCCGATGATACGATATCTGATCCCTGGTCGGAATATAATGAGTCTCGCATCTTTCCTGACGGGGCGAAGGTTATTGGCAAAGAAGCAGCCCTCAAAGAAGATGCTTCCTCCAACGACGATACGATTTCAGCCACTTCCTCTACTGCGACTCTACTATAGCCCAAGTCTACATTCTCATTTGATTCGATGGATGATTTACTCCTTATCGAGAGACCGGAATACACGCGGGAGTCCTTTCGAACTACCTGTCCTATCTTTAGTCATAGTTGGACGATTTGCAATGGGTTGAGAAGCTACCTTGGTAGGATCGTGCACGATCTCATGGAACAACAGCTTTGTACCCTCTCGTTCTACATCCTTTCGCAAAGTCTCAAAATCTGACATCGCCCTTTTAACGGTTTCGTACTGAAGTACAGGCTGTTGCTTCTCACTTTTGAGGTGAAGAAGAAGCCTCTCGCTGTAAGAGTTCCAGTGTTCTGGAAGCCACAAGTTCTGCGGGCGTGCATCCGGAAGTCCTACGGCGATGAGTCCGACGGGGAGAAGAACAGAGTCTGTGTAGTACTGCAATTCTACAAGAGCTTGCTGGGTAACCCAGATAGCAGAGTTATGTGTGACAAGAACAAACGCAACATTTGGTGAGTCCTTGTTCACTAGTCCGACAAGGTCGGTAGCAAGACGTGAGCTAAGTTTACGCAATCTTGACTCACCATCACGAAGTAGTCTGGCGGTGTCATAACTCCAGATGTGTATTTTGCGTGGCTTGATCCTTTCACAGATATCATCAACTGTCCGATCTAGAGATCGGGCAAGCTTTGTGCTGGCGTAGCAACCGTGAACAAACACGACCCTGAAATCTTCAGTGCTAATCCCACGCGGCGACAACGAATTAGCGGATTACTCACTCGAGGTTTGAATTAATAGATAAATTGCTTGACTGCTGGCAAGTACGCAGATACTTTGGTGAGTTCTTCAAAGTGTGGATAGCCGCTGCGACGCGATCCATCTGTAGCAACGGAGTGACGCAATGCGTGGAAGGTGGTGCGGGTGTGCGCGAAGGGCAGAGGTGTAGGGGGCAGAGCGCAAGCCAAAATATGACAGCCTGCTGCGCAGCGCGCACGCGCCCTGGCTGATGCAAGCCAGAGTCAGAGGGTGTGGGTGCCAAGCCACCTCAGTCATCGACAGGAACGCCTCGTCAGTCTTCACATCCCACCTGCCTCAGCCCTCGCTAACTCACGCTGCGTTGATGTTTCTGCTAAAACACTCAGAATAGTTACAAATCAACCAAGCGAAGGATCTTGAAGCCTGGCCGGTTGCGTCGGCGTCCCGCGCATCGGGGTTGCGTATTGCGACCATGGACCTCAAAGCTCTGCACGGTCGCTCGACTTTTCCAACAGTTCACCGTATGATCACGTACGGTCAGCCGCCACACAATAATTCGCCCATGCTCTTAATTTGGACCTTGCGGCTGTTATCTTCCCGCATTTCTACATCAACCCCGACAATTGGCGGTCCTCACAATCCAGCCTGCAGCGCGCTACTGCATCCACCAATGAGAATGGGCAGCCGCACGGCGGGACCCCCAAGCGCATTCTTACCGGAGCGCTGAGATGGGTGGCAGACAAGGCTGAACAATTGTGCGTATTTACCATGCATCCTCTTTTAAGGAGCGCGGGCGTTCAGACACTCCGGTTCAGCAGCCAGCCTAGTTACCTACTTTTCAAAACTTGCAAGCATGGAACATCTGAAACTCCCCTATCTCGAGGGCTTCTCGGTCACGAACTTTGGCAACAAGTACGACTCCAGCGTTTCGTTTCAGAATTTTCCAGGAAAGGTAGGCTGGGCTGTCACTACTGCCTCTGGCGAGCTCAAAGAAGAAGAAGTAAACGGGGTGTCTAGGAAGCCTGAACTGGAGTTCAAAGAACTGATGCAGTCATGGCTTTTCTTTGGTCTAATTACCGCTGTGGTCTATGATGATAACAACATCGACAAGTGGGAGCTTGTTGCATCTGACTTTGACCCAGACGACAAAGGAACACTTACTACAAGGGAATTGCCAAGAATACTGGAAGATTGGCGAAAGAGGGAGATCTCGCAAGATGGGAAGCCGGGCCAGAAGATGCGCATGATACGGGCACAACTCGCATTAGATCTGGCCCGAAAGGTGGTCAACACGTACTGTTCGGCTGACAGCCCGAAGCGCGCAGCAAGACTTCTCGACAGTAAGGTGGCACTATCTTTGATGGTAATAGGGGAAACTCTCAGTATCGCAAAAGCTCGGATCATCGCGCAAATCGGATTCAGCGTGCGCGGGTGGTATGGCGATGCGACCATCGGTTGGGGCATCCCACAAAAGGTGGTAATCGCGATGCACAATGAAGGATGGTGTCCAAGGACCGTTCAATTGCTCAAGTCTCAATTACGCAACAATGCTTCGGCTTTCCTGACAGCCTATGCGTCACACGGGCGCGGTCATTTCAAGGGACATTCCAGATGTGTAAAGGACCAACCTTGCAAAGTCAATCCTTTACGGAACCAGGAGTATGTAACAAAACACCACCCACAGTGTATACATCAAGAGGACGATCAAGAGTTGGGCGATAGACCCAGAGGAATTACCTGTCATCGGCGAAGTCACGAAATGCTTGGTGTACCATCGGATGCATTACTCCAGATCATCAATCGCGGCGACATACCTCTTGTTAGATTCAAGAAAAATGCGCCAAATGGAGAGCCGGTCTTGGAATTGACAGATGCGTCTCACGAACCAGACTATGCCACCATCTCTCATGTTTGGGCTGACGGGTATGGAAACAGCACAAGTAATGCGCTGTATCGTTGTCAGATTGTATACTTTCGGAGACTCCTGGAGGAAGCGCAGGTGCATCGAGCGAGATACCGACGAGGTAATCACAGGAACAAACCTGCGCCCCTCGCCTTCTGGATGGACACGCTGCTCATCCCCGTAGGCAGCGAAGAAGGTCAGAAAGCAGCGAGAAAGAAAGCAATCCACCAGATCTATACTGTATTCTCAGGCGCTAAGTACACTATCGTTGTCGACAATGGCCTCAGCGGCATGTCCTGGGACAATCAGGACTACACGACTACAGCAATGAGGATCCTTGCGAGTGGTTGGATGAGAAGACTTTGGACCTTACAGGAAGCTTACCTTAGTCGTAAGCTGTTGTTTGCCTTCAAACACTTGGATGAGGACGATGACGAGAGCAAATGCCCGCCGCTAATTGACCTCGATGAGATAGAGGCATGGTATCACGAAGGTAGCCCGTCACTCGTATCTGATTTGCCTGCCCTGGCCCGAAGTTATTACAACAACCTACTTGGGCCTGACCGGAACGCGAGGAACAACAAGGACATAACAACTGACGGGATGAGTCTTATTGCGAGTGTATGGCGAGCAGCGCAGTGGAGAGTAAGTGGCACCCATGCTTCAAGTCAATTTGCATTCGTGCTAATGGCAATTCAAGAATACATCTCACAATGAGCACGAAACGTTAGCTCTTGCTACACTCCTTAATCTGGATCTCAGCAACAAATCATTCGGGACAGCCAACCTTATGAAGCCAGGCAATAACACCAATCTAGAGCTCGATACCATGATGAAAGACTTCTGGTTATCACTTGAGGAGAGTTCACCTGGTTCGATTCCTCCGGGTATCATATTTCTACCCGGCCCTCGAATCCAGATCTCCGCATTCGGCTGGGCACCAAAAAGTTGGATGCTAGCACATGGGCCTGATTACCCAGATCCAGTTGCCCTGTCGAGGAAAGCGGCCGTCCTCTCGCCAGAGTATGGCCTGCAAGTAGAATTCCCAGGATTCCTTCTTCACTGCGAGGATAGAGATGCAATCCTTGGCCACCAAACAAATGGGACGGGCTTTCGGTTCCCGTGTGATAACTCACTAACCGAATATTATCGCGTTACCTGGGACGAAACGGAAGAGTACAGCAAGCAAAGAGGTATCATCGGCGAACAGCGCAGCGAAGATCTGGCCATAATACTCTGTCGACCAAGACCCGGACAATTTCCCGAGATTGGTCTACTTGTAGAGATCCATACGACCAAACAAGAGAAGAGGGATCTCGGCCAAGACAGCGTCCGGAGGGTGTTCGCAGTCTACATGCGCCGACGTGTCAAGGTCAGGCGCGAGACTGGCGATTTGAACTTGGCGACCAAGGTCAAAGAGATCATGAATCGCGCCCACGAGGAACAGTCGAGAATTATCTGCGGCGAAATCCTTAACGAAGACCAGAAATGGATCGTTGACTGCAGGATCGACTCAGCTAAGAAGATATCGAAAGAGCAAGTAGCAACTAGATCGGCTACTCCTGTGCGATCAACACGACCTTCTGTACCAGCCAAACGATCCGCAGTTATGGGGATAAGAAGCCCGCAAGACAGGGGGGCCGGATCTGGACCTGATCGTGCACTTCCAGTCTTATCTTCTCATGCACGAAATGCTGAACAGCCCCTAATTGGGAATGTAACAGAGAGAGAGGATAGCGTGCAAAACCCAAGCCTACAAAGCATAAGCTATAAACCCCCCAAAGTATCGACACCCGAAGAGGCTCCGGGCCCAGGTAGTCTTCCAAGAACCCAAACAGGGTTGGATAGGCTGCTTTTGAGGAATCCATGGAAATGTTAAAGTTTGGGAGGTAGCAGAAACTTTCCCTACGATTGCCTTTCAAGCATTCTGCATAATACAAATGAGCCACTGTGTTCCCATTGCTACAGACAGTCCTGCTTCGACATCATTCGGTCAAGCATCCTTGCTCGATTAGGCGAGATCAGCCCGCCACGAGCTGAGCAATAGCGAAACGAGACCCATCCACGCATGAATGACGTAAGATGATAAGCAAGATCCCACGAATCGCTTCCGTCATTGGACGCCCATTATGCAGTATTTCCATGGGTGTCACACACCTCGCCAGGCTGAAGTTCAGCCTGGTGTCTTTAATACATGATAAAACTGGAGCCGCACGAGTCTGTTCAACCCTAGTATGATCTTTCGTCTTTACGAAAAATGTCTAGCACTGGGAACTTGTCGACCGTGTCTCAGCTTTCGGCCCAGTGGGCCAACCCGAACGATGTGCTCTCCCTGCTACTCATAATCGGTGGAGACATCGTTCAAACCGCTCTCGCCCAGACCACAGCCGGGGGATGGATAACCCCAGTATGCTTCTCGTTTGGTTGGGTAGCATATTCATTCAGCACACTCGTGCGCGTCCTTGGCGACGGTCGTCTTCTTCCACCGCCAGATTTCCCGGCGAAAGTCTTCAACCTCGAATCGTCCTACGTCCGAGAGAACAAGAACTGGGTGTTAGGCCGCATCCTAAGGGATAATGAGCTATTTATGAACAAAATACAGCCGCACGGAGGTAACGCACTCAGGATATCGATATACACCGCTGTGGAACGGAAGAACGGCCAGGAGATGTCGAACGTCTACACCTTGTGGTTGTGGGTAGGAGTCACATTGCTACAGATTGGTATTGCAAGCATACCTCTTGGCCGAGACGGCGAGTGGGGAGTCTTTCTCGTGACCTGCAGTGGTATTGTTGCATCAATACTTGCAGGCGCACTACCTCAATGGCGAATCGAAAAGATCCCGCTCAAGAAGGAGAGCCGTAAGCTTATCGCTTTGACGAGTGGTAATGGGTCTCGCGACATCATGATCATCTACGGTGACAGAAAGGCGTTGGATCTCGAGGAACTCGCTGCTGGCGAGAGTCCTCGCTCTGATCGGGTCTGGGAGGCCCTAAATCTGTTCTCCACGCCTGTCAAGAACGAATTTGGCCTCGTAGAGCGCCGGAACAACAACACTGAAGTACGCAAGACTCGTATGTACAACGGACTGCCGCTCGGCGTTTGGGTGACACGTTTCGCGTCATTCTGCCAGGTAGTCTTCTGGTTAGCACTGCTTATCATGGTCGCTGGTCTCAAGACGCACAGCTGGTACCTTGTGTTGATAGGTTCTGTTGGCATGCTTCAGAACGCTATGTTAGCAGCTGCAGCAAGGCGCCCCGACCGTCGTGGGCTTCCTCTAATGCTGGTTGACACCATAGCCACCCATCGCGTGATGGATGGTTTAATGGACCTTGACGCCACTATAAAAAATGCTGGCATATCACTTCGCGACGAGTTCTTTCCTGGACTCCTTCGCGAGGACGAAACGAATTGGTGGGATGGCGAGCGAGATGTCTATGATAGTGCTCGACTTGGAGACAAGGGACGTGGCACTCCTCGATCTTTACTTCGAAAGAAAAGTCTGGGTATTCCGGATATTGACACTGCTGGGAAGGCATACTTGTACAGGCGGAGTTCGACAATGATGTCGGGAATGAGTTCCGAAAACATGTCAGGCGGCCTCAGAACCCCGTCAAAGCCTTCGATATCAAACGTCCCGTCGATACCACGGGGTCTTACTAGGGTTGGTACTGTGGGTGAGGAGATGAGCGAAGTACCAACGCCAAAAGGAGGGACGGTAAGATTCCTGGCTTCAAGACCATTTCAAGAATTCGCACCTTTGGGTCCTCAGGCAAGCCAGGAACGTCCTTCAACGAGCTCATCAGATGTGTCATCTGTACAATCTCCTGGATGGGCTTAGATGGGTAATAAATCTCCTGGGTTTGCTACGTGAACGGTGTCGGTTTTGGAATCTGATGATTGCGATCTCTCTCATTTGCGGATTGCTTCTGCGTATGTAGTAGTAATGTATTGCAGGAGTCATGTCGGTTTTGGTACGATATCCACACTACCATTCTAGACAATGTTCGTGATCAAAGAGGTGCTCAGGGCTGAGGTCTCGGTATAGCGCTTGCTTTCACATTGAATGATTTCTCTCTAATACGCTGCCTGCTACTATAAAGACGCAATTGTATTGAATTGGATTATGTCCAAAGGCAGTGCGCACCCGGGATATCGACGCGAAGCCCTCGAACGACCACTGCATTCATCTCCGCAATTCCACACCCACCCAATCAAACCTGAAACCTCCACCTCGGATGCCGATCCCCCAATTTAACATCCTCCACACTATCATGAAACCCGCCCGTCTGCGGCCTCTCCACAAGCACCCTCTCTTTCTCCGCGTTCTCCCTCTTCAACAACACCCACAACATGCCCACAACCACCAGATTCAAACACAAATACCCCAGCGCAAAACTATGCCCAAGCACATACCGCGGCCCAGAGTTCGCGCGATACAACTGCGTCCCCAGCACCGCCCCCAAATTCCCAATGCTGATCTGCATAGCATTAGCCGTTGCGCGCTTCGTTTGCCCACTAACGTTGATGGCGGGCCAGCAGAGGACCAAGGCGACGGAAGGGTAGATGCCGATGGCGGCGAAAAAGGTTCCTACGTAGGACACGCCTGGGCGTGCTTTGGGATCGGTGTTAGCGAGGAGGATGATGTACCCGATGATTGCGACGGTGGAGGTGGTGAGGATGAAGAGGGCGCGGCGGGCGTAGCGTTCGGAGAGAATGGCCCAGAAGATTGTGAAGAGGGTTGCGACGGCGTAGGGGGGGATGGTGAGGAGCTGGGATTGGGCGGATGTGTAGCCCATGTCGCGGATGATTGTTGGCTTGGGGGGTGTTAGAGTAGTGGGTGAGTTCTGGGAGCTGGCTGGCTTACTAGGAATAGGGATAGAGTGTACAGTGGTAGACTCATGGTGTGGAAGGCAAAGGCGTAGAGCCAGATCTTGATGTCTTTTGCGGCTAGCAGCACTTCCGCCCATGAAAATGCTTCATCGTTCGTTGCGTCGCTGTCGGCTTTCAGACGTGCTTGCACGAACGCTCTTTCTTCTTTGCTGAGCCAGCTGACGGTGGCAGGGTAGTTTGAAATGAACCAGTACGCGATTATTCCGATGATGATTGTGAGAAGACCTTCCTATGCCGCTGTTAGTGACGAACTCATGAGCAGATTGGCGGGCGTACCAAGATGAAGATCCATCGCCACCCAGCGTAGCCTCCTACATTACGCATATGCGCAATGCCATATGCTAGGATCTGGAAGCGTCAGTACTGAAGATTGTATATATATGAGAGGTAGCATACACCACCAAAAGCCCCCGCAAGACTCGCGCAGCTAAAAAACAACGAAATGCGATACTGTCGCTCATTGCGCTTATACCACATACTCAAATAATACACCACACCAGGAAACAGCCCCGACTCAGCCATTCCCAGACTACAGATAATTAGCCGTTGTCGCACTATTAGTGTCTTTCTCGGGCTACTCACAAGAAGCGCACCGCAAAAAACCCCGACAAGTTCTGCGTAACGCCCATCAACGTAGCCACAACACCCCAAACCACCGTAAGCGTAGGTAACCAGAACTTCGGCGTTGTGCGTTTGAGGACAATGTTGCAGGGTATTTCGAAGAGGACGTAGCCGATGAAGTAGAGGGTTAGGCCGGTGAGGTATTGGTTGCCTGTCATGCCTAGGTCGGTTGTAAGGCCTTCGATACGTGCGTTGGCGACTAGAATCTATCAGTATACTGTTGAAACGGTGGGAATGATGAAGTCTATACCATTGCTGCGATCGAGAAAGCTGAGCAGATACAAGATTGACACCGCGGGCAGGAGTCTCAAATCCAATGTTCTGAGTAACTTCTTTTCGTGGATGGTGCCGGGGACGATTTCTACATCGCTCGCGGAAGAGGTCGATGCAGCGGGTGCATCGTTCTTCTCCGATGCCATCGTCACGTTCGCACTGGTTTTCACGCGGAGGTGTCGAGACGTGGAATGTCCCTCCAACGACGACGCGGCACGAAGGTCTACTTATCAACCGCACCACCGTCGCATTCTTCGTAGCTTCGAATGATGCAAGAACGTGGGTCAATCAGCTCAAGCCGCGGCAGCGTCATAACCCAGGTCGGCCGGACAAACCCCAGGCAAACCTCAGGCATGACGGCGTGCTCTCATTGGAGCGCATGGCAACCCGCTTCCAATGCGAGATTTGCTGCGTTCTGACAGGGCGATCGTCCTCGGCTTTACTGCACTGCATGGCGGCGTGTTACAAGGGCTTATGAGTTGGGGTTGTACACGAAATCGAGAGGTGGTATGTCGTGATTGCACTAGCCGCTTGGGGTATAGACCCTGGTGGACCACGTTGTTATTCGATGGAGGCGATACGTGACGATAGGGCAGGTAGATGGCTGATGTTTTACTTGCTGGGTCTTTGGTGGAGGACTTTGCTTTCACCGTTTTGTGGGTCAACGCTATCATTCCAAGGCTATGTGGCATTTCCGAAGTTTGGACCGATGTTCGCAGGAGAGCGGGGGAACGATTGGTACCAGGCGGTTTGCTCAATAAGTCCACTGATGCGCTACCGTTTCCCTTTCCCCCCAATAATCCCAATACCTCTAATAAACAAAACAACAACAGCCGTAGACGCAACGCTCATACCAAAGTTGAACCAAGCCGTCGTCCTAATACCCACCTTTAGCGCGTCATCCCAAGGCACCGTCTTATGTCCTTCACCACCAATCTGATCCACACTCAACCCCTTCTCCCTAGCCACAACAGCCGTCTGAACCGCCGTCGCAATCGCCAGCCCAACCGCCCTCCCAATCTGACCCACAGCCGTGATAAGCGCCCCTCCCAATGAAGCATCCTCCGCCGGCAGCGTCTTAGCCACAAACAACGTGAGAACAGGGAAGATGGTATCCGCACCCGAGACACACAGTACCATAGCCGGGAAGCCATACGCCCAATACGTCGTATGCACCGGAATGGGAATTGCGAACAGCAACGAGGATATACTCACGCAGATCGTACTGAATGTGAGTATATAATCGCCCGGCACACGAGACAGAATCTGCCCAGTGATGGTAGCCACCAGGATCCCCGTGATACCATTCGGCAGAAAGCGCAGTGTGGTTTGGATAACGGAAAGGCCTTGGTAGTCTTGGAACCAGTAGGTTGCGAAGATGAGATAGTTGTTGAAGGACGAGAAGAACAGTGCCATTAGCACATTCGCAGCAGTGAACTTGCCGTTTTTGAAGATACTCATCTTCATCAACGGCCGCCGCTCCGTCTTGTGCTCGAGGTAGTGCTGCCAGAAGCCGAATGCGCCGATGATGATTAGTGAGAGTACGATGAGCACGGGCACCCATGGCGTACTCCAGCCCACGACATTGCCTTCGGAAAGCGCAAATACGAGAATGACGAGACCGATGGTGATGAGCGATCCGCCGATCCAATCCACCGTGTTGCGCAAGACGGGTTCAGGTTTCAACGGAGGGATTGGGATAACGAAGTAGCTCGCAACCGTAGAAATCCCCGCAATAATCCCAAACAACCAGAAAACCCACTGCCAATCGAGATACTCGCCTACGACACCACCAAAGATGTTGCCCAACACGCCACCAAGCGGGGCTCCGGCACCGAAACACCCGAAAGCGATGTCTTTGGTCTTTCCGGGTGGGAAGGTAGACGCGAGGATGCCGAGAGCGGTTGGTGCCATAGCGGCGGCAGCAAGTCCCTGGAGGCCGCGGAAGATGTCGAAGCCGATTTCGTTGGGGATGAAGGGCGTTATTATTGATGTGAGTGTGAAGGCTGCGGAGCCCCAGAGGAAGATCATTCGTCGGCCGTAGACGTCTGCTAGACGGCCCCATAGTAGCTGGATGGTCTTGTTAGGGAATGATGAACTGAAGAGGGTGGTTTAACGACGTACCAGAAAGCAGCCAAATGTAAGGTTGTAAGCGGAGATAATCCACTGCTGTCGACTAACCGGGATATCCAATTCCTCCCCGATGGTAGGTAGGATGATAACCGATGCTTGAACCGCCATAGTCTATCACAAATTAGTCAGTCTCCTTCCTCTCTTCTCCAATAAGGTTGGTCGGGCATACTCACACTCAAAAACGGCGCCGCAGCAATCGTCGTAACAAGCGCCACACACCGCGCTTTCGAAAACGGCAAGCGCTCAGAAGCTGATGTATCCACAGCTACAAGTCCATTCTCTTTCTCTGCATCATCGCTTGTCTGGTGTATCGCGGTGACCACCCGTTCCAGATCCGTGACGCCTTCCACAGGCTCGGGGGTTCTCTCTTCGCGCTTCGACATCTTCAGAACACACTACAAAAGATTTCATATGACAGTCGGCAGCCTCCGCCATGCTTCCAGTGGGGTACCCCATCTTTATAAACGATTGAAGTCTGGGGGAAAGAATATGCCGAAGAGCTCGCTTGCCGACCGCCACAAACGCGCCTTTGCTAGCTTGGGTAAGGGTTTATCCGGGGGTGGTGCAGGTGGAAAAGGTAGGCAAAAGTATGACAACGAGCTCTTGGTGTATGACGAATGGCAGTGTGATGCGGAAAAGGAATCCTGATCTGCGAAAGCACTCGTATAAAGATGTTCTCCGTAGTGGTAGTGTAGCGGGAGGAATGGTCTTACATTCCACCAATCGCAGCGGGCTTATATCAGCAGGGACTAGTCGTAGATGTTCGCTGTCGGTATAGTAGCAGCTGCATGTCAACGAGCGCAAGAGAGAACGGCGACATGCGACACTAGATAATCAAGATCAAGATGAGAAGTCAAGACAGTGGACATAAATTCATTGCTCGTGCTATTACGTTCCAGTTCCATTCCAAGTCGTCAAGCAACCTCAATCGATGTATGCAAGAGGGAGAAACGCGACCGAACCACTGTTGCCCAAGAGCCAGCCACCAAAAGGAGGCGGCGGCGGCGACATCATCAAACAAATAGTCTAAGCGCGAAAGGGGGTATGAAGAAGAGGGAGCAAAGGAAGACTTGTTTATGGCTTGTGGATGTCAATGACCATCTCGGTCTCGACAGTTTCCGCCTTCTTGGCGAACCTGGCGACATCGGCGCCCTCGACCTTGCCGTACATGGTCTCGGCGATTATGCCGGTGATCTGGTATGGGTCACCGTTGGAGGCCGGGCGGCGGTCCTCGAAGTAGCCCTTGCCCTCGGCGGCGACGGCGCGGGGGATACGGACGGAGGAACCGCGGTTGGCGACGCCCCAGGTGAACTTGTCGTAGGAGGCAGTCTCGTGCTTGCCGGTCATGCGGAGCTGGTTGTCTGAGCCGTAGACGGCCATGTGCTCGGCTTGGCGGGTGGACAGCTTCTCCATGGCGGCCTCGATGGCCTTCATGCCGTTGTCGCCACGAGTCTCGTTGGTGGAGACGTTGGTGTGCAGACCGGCGCCGTTCCAGTCACCGGGGATGGGCTTGGGCGCAAAGGTAACCTTGGCACCGAACTCCTCAGCGACGCGGTGGAGCAGGAAGCGCGACATCCAGAGCTGGTCACCGAGGGAGATGTCGGGGCAGGGACCGACTTGGTACTCCCACTGGGCGGGCATGACCTCGGCGTTGGTGCCGGAGATGGCAATCTCGGCGTACATGCAAGCCTTGTAGTGAGCCTCGACAATGTCACGGCAGAAGACCTTGCCAGTACCGACACCGCAGTAGTAGGGGCCCTGGGGGGCGGGGAAGCCGTTCTTGGGCCATCCGTAGGGCCAGCCAAACTCGTCGAGAAGGGTGTACTCCTGCTCCAGACCGAACCAGAAGCCGTGCTCCTTGTGCTTCTCGAAGATGATGGCGGCGTCGTGGCGGAAGTTGTAGGCGTTGGGCGAGCCATCCGACATGTACGTCTCGCACATGACCAGGACGTTGTCGCCCAGACGGAAGGGGTCGGGGTAGTATGCAACGGGGCGGAGGTAGACGTCCGAGTTGTCGCCGGGCGCCTGGCCCGTCGACGAACCGTCAAAGTTCCATTCTGGGAGGTCCTTCAGGCTCTCGACCTTCGACTTGAGCGTCTGCGTGCATGTCAGTATGAGCCTCGGGTAATCGGCATGAAGTCGGGTGGGATAAGGGAACGACGTCACTGCGGGCTGTGGCCGGTGGTGGGGTGCGATAAGAAGGAACGCCAAAACTTCCGGCAGAAGGAGCGATTGGCGCCATGTGCGTCACATGCAGACCACCACGCTCGCGACTCCAGTCGTCGAAAGGCTTCTCCAGATTGTGTATCGCACGGCGCGTCGCAGCCAGTTGCTGCTCTCGGCTAGAAACCTCGAACCGCAGACTAGACCGATCCGCAGCCGTAGCGTGGTGCAAATGCCGCGGTATATCGCAGAGATCGTGGAGATCGGGTTGAAGGATCGGAAAGCTGGAAAATGCTCACCTTTGACTTGGAGCGGATTCCGTTGGAACCGTCTATCCAGACGTACTCGGCCATGACGGCGCCTTTTTGGGGCAGGTCGAGGTACTTCTTGAGCTGCAATGCGCGTTAGCATGTGTTTGAATGTAGCACGCGAGCAGTAGACTTACGTTGGCCGCATTGGAAACAATCGTTGAGTTCGCCTAGGATATGGTCAGCAAGAGTCGCGTGTAGGAGCAGTCGGTGACACGTACCATGACTGTGGTTGTGTATGTGTGGTGGTGAGGGAATAGCAAGTAACTCTTGACTGCGACAAGACAAGGCAGTGGAGGGGTTATAAGAGGGGTCTCTGTGTGAAGTGGGGAGTTATGATGGGCAAGTAGATAAGGATAGCGGGCCTGGGGGTCTGTTATAAGGTAAGAATGCTGGATTGCTTTGACTGTCTCGGCCTGTGGCGGGGCTAGCCGTGCTCAGATACTACTTAGGCTGGCCGTAGCCAAGAGGCGTCGCCGAACTGTTTCCGTGGGATGAAGAAGCAATCAATGTCTCTAAACGCGCAACTTTACGCCGCATCCCAGCATGCCTTGCCCACTCTGCAATCTCTAGGCTTCCGCTAGCCACGGTTGTACCGTCTCTCTGGTGATATTGTGCCCAATCTCGCGTCGCCGGTTTCCAAGGCTTACCATAGGCCCACGCGGTCTTTGTCGCGCATCGTGATGTTGGCTGACGGGCGAACGCACAGACGCACAGCCTCACCAGCTTCCGAGTTTGAGCGATTTGACGCTGGGTAGCGTCGCTGTAAGGGCAGCTAATTTTATCCAGGTACTGCCGAATTGGTCATGCCCTTCGGTCTTGGCCCGTACCAACGACAGTTACGACACACCGCTCCACACGACTATTGCTTTGCGATGGCCGTTCGTATGCATCGCCAACCTGTGCCCAACACGAGCTGCGTAACCCTGAATACCCAGACCCTGTGCGTCCACGTCTCGCGACACCTGCATGCCCAGCTCGCTGTAGTGCATAACCGTCGCGCTGGGCAGGGCGCGCCGTTGCCCGGGGTTGACATCGGGGGGCGATAAGGCCGCTTCGGGCCAATGGCTGCAGTTGCAGTTAGTCCTGCCTCGTCATGGCAGCATCACGCAAACCGCTCAACGTCGTTTCTTGTAGTCAGCATCCGAGACTCTAATAGCCTTCCGACCGATGTGTCCGTTTTATTGTCTGGGACCAGAGGACGTGCATTATTCTAGAAGAGCGCTGGAAGTCTCTGTCGCTGGTGTCGTCTCGACTTCGATGGTACGGCTGGAAGATTCCCATCTCAACCCCACAGGTTTCCTGGCCCGCCGGCGACACAGCGCGCACGCGGCACATTCGAGTTGCACGAATTGCCGTCATCCAAATGATAATCCCTCTCCAACCCCACGATTGTGATTAATCCAGCGCGTTCGAGACATCCCGACAAAGGTAAAAAAGCCGCACAGCGACGTCGGCTCAACATTATCGTGCGTCGACGTTGGGCTTAGCGGGGTTGCGGGCGAGCCGTCGATCCGCTAGCACTGCATGCCCCCTGGCACCAGAGATAAGGGACATGGGCGAATTTCCATGTTACGTTAGCCTATCGAGTAACGCCGCCGGCCGTTGCGCCCTGGATGACATGCTGCCCGCCAGCGACACAACAACAGCTTTTCACAATGTCAATATCTCACAAGTAGCACCATCTGCGCAAGCGTCACATCACAGTTCACAAACAGCCTGACGTTTGACGTGAAGATCAGGAACCGTGCGTGTGGCGGTGTCATCTCCGCTTTAGGCAAGGCTGGAGGCCCGCTCGTGTGCTGGAGCGTGGTCGAGAATGCTTGTATTTCCCCAGATGATAGCTTGCGCTGATCCAGGGAGCCTCATCTGCATGGTTTACGCCAGGCAGCCAGTCAGCCAGTGGAGTGGTGGTGCTGAGCATGGACAGTGCTCACACGTGCGGCCTATACCAACCGGAGACGCAACACCACCAGACATTGCGACTCGTTCGCGAGACGATATCTAGCTGCGCTGGGAGATATGGAGGCCAATCTTCAGACGTCACAACGTCGATCCGTTCCCACCAACGCAGCCATCGGCGAACGGTGTCTCTGCCACATGGCGTTGGCCTCTGGGCTGCGTCGCTGCGATACCCGGCGTGCGCACAGAAGCAATGTGTGGCACGATCCCTCTGGTGCGGACCGGTACGATTGATGACCTGCAGCGCGATATGGGTGTGGTGGGGTGGCAGCAACGGGTGTACCTGCAGCAGCACAGGCTACGCTGGACGAAGCGCTCGGAACGATACGGGGGAAGATTTTGGCCATGGCCGACCTCCGGGAAGCTAAGCCTCCGGAAATGGCGCCAGTAGCATGGTGTTGGAAAATCCGGGGTAGATGTTGGCGTCGCTGCCGGATGGGGGTCGATGATGCTATAGGTTATGCGCACTGATCTCGCGTTAGTACAACTCCACCCGCTCACAGTCAATGGCGCAATTAGCTTCTTCGGATCACTGCCTCTGAGCTCCCGAAGATGCTGGAGAAGTGATTGTCGGCGATTCATGGTCCACTGTATCGACATGGGCCAATCATGGTGAATGCCAATGACGCATTGACGAAGTAGCAGTTACGACGCCAAACGTCGGGTTGAACAAGGGATTGCGAGCAGACGGTTCCGCGATATTGTCTCTGTCGCTGCACAATGAAGGAGCCTCACGTAGTGTTTGCGTGTTTGTACACTGGCGATATGGTCTTGTCTGCGAAAGGTCAGTGTTCGTCCAATCACTCCCGTCGGCACCTCCAGGGCTTCGAATTGGTCGCTCAGATAAGACGTACCCATCACACAGCGGTACATGTGTTATATCGAACACGTCTATCATCGGCCCTGCTGCCATTGGGGTCGTGATAGGTTTGTAGGTGAGCCATGTTGTCGGTCTCGGTTCGTCGACGGACACGCCTTGGCATGTACCTATGCCGAGGACATGGGATCGATTAACAGCAGCGAGGTCTGTTCCGACTGTAGATACCGCCTCGCGAGTGGGACAACATGGCGGCCATTCGCTCACATCGAGGTGATGCTGCGCCAGAGGATGAAAGAGAGGACCGAGTAAGAGAAGGAAGACTGCAGTACGTCGTGGTCCACGCGCTACCACTACCTGTTCTTGACCTGAGTGGTGTGTTTCCCAGTGGGCAGTAAAATAGAGATGTCTTACTCCGCTCCTTCTGGCAGCGACAGACGCGAAACGCATGTCGTTCCTTCCGCTTCCATCTCCACGGCGTATTCATGAACGATAGAGCAACAGACTTCGGCGTTCATTCGTGTCCGTACGAAGCCACCTGTCCCAACTACGAACCCGACTGTTTCCATTCAGATATAGGTCGTTGCCTATACTAGCGCAGGCTCGTCGCCGGTCTGGCCCTATCTCAACGGCATCACCGAACAGACTGCGAAAGGTGGAAGCACGAAACATCCTTGAAACGCGACGAAATCGAAAGAGCAGGGAGCGAACACTCGATAAGAGAAGATTCAATCATGTTATGTGGTCATGTCGTGAAGTTGGGGCATGATGAGGGGAGGAAGCTTGGGCTGCAGCCGTGGCCAATGAGCGACTGCGATGAGGTAACAGCAACCACGACGCTCCTGCCCTGCGCGTTTTTTGCATCTGACTTGCGTTTGGAGACTATGTAACAGTATGGTGTGTTGATGAGGTATTCGCAAAACTACACGGCAATCGCAGTGGTGTTTCAAGTCCCATAACGTGCGGATGTTCGCAAATCGACTCGCGCCGCTCAGAAAGGTGAAGTAAAGCGAGAGACTATCGGCCTGGTGGAACAGCAGGATGTATAGCTAGCTAGGCTCATGGAAGTCCAAGTTGCGGTGGAAGACTATGCCAACGAAAGATGGGATGACTTGGTTACGTAGTCGATAGCGAATCCATTGCATCCTAAGCATGCACTCACGAAAGAGTTCCTGTAATCGAGGAACATGTCAGAAGAGGGTGAAGGCGGAAGATCTGCGGTTGCCCGATACGGACATGAAGGCAAGCACGCTTTACCCTCCCACTACGCGCACGAAATGTTTCTGGCAACAGCACTCTCACTCTCCTCTCTCTTGACAACACAGTCACCTCGAATCTGGGCGATGCAGTCACGACAGTGAGTACCGCACGACCTTCACTGAATCAATCACTGACGAACGACTTGATAGAGCCATGGCTGACCGCGACGTTCACGGCGATCACGAGGAGCCTGCCAATGCGCGACACCACGCAGGACGTCACGAGATCTTAAAGCCGTTCATTCCCAGCAACGGTAATCTATACAAGCCCGATGGATGGCCTCTAGAGACCTTCGCGGAAAGAAGAACCCTTGCCGACTATGTCGTTCGAGAATATGCAACCCTTCGCAAGCTCCGACCAAAGACTCGTTCAAGCAGCCTTCTTGCTTCGCACAGGAAAGCACTCACTGGGGTGGCAGCATATCTGGACAAGATTAGGAAGATGGAGGCATCCGAACGACCCGTGAGCACCAAAGCGGAAGAGACAGATCAAGAAAAGGAGATGTCGCCGCCGCCAAACTTTCTAGCTGACTTTGAACTGCCCTCGCGATCACAGAGCGTTATCTCACCGGCAGACGAACTCGAATCTCCACAGATCCAGACTTCAGACGGCATCGCCAAACTCCCCAGCGCCCTCAAACAAGAGTCCCTCCGCTCCGCCAAGTTCTACTGAGAGGGTCTCAAATTCCAAAGATGAGGCCGGTCAGGCAGAGTCAGGCAGTGCGTGCGCAGAACAGGCGAAGAAGCGATTGAGTGGCCGCAGCTTGAAGGAGGTTGCCAAGGGTGTGTTGAAGGGTGTGACGAGAAAGCTTGGAAGTCGCGGTGATGCAAGCAAGTAGACTATCAAGACGTACTGGTGGAAGCCTCGCTTAGAGGCAATCCATCGATGCGAACTAGGAGGGTTGATTCTGTACTTAGCAGCACGTACATACAAGTAGAGCCCATATACCAGACAGACCTCGTCTACTTGCTGCGTATACGCTGTCAATTGTTTGGAAAAGGGGGAGGACGTCCAACAACGTAGACGCCAACTTTGAATGTAGCCCAGGCAACGGACTCAGGAAGCGGCGTAGTTCTGCTAATTAAATGGGGAAAGTAGATGCAAGACTTGTGGTAGCTCTAAATCCGCCGCTGACGCAGAGTGTGATGGAGACGCTAGTCGCGGCTGCCCTAAAAGGTATTTTTGTAGATGTGACTACATCCTCACGATCTGCACTCTCAGAACGGCGACGCCTTCCATGCTAGCCCAGCCTATACAAACTGCAGTATGCCGTACAAAGTACGGCGTCGAGAACCATAATTGTCCAGCTCCAGCCCAGCCCCTGAGATTAGCGAAAGGATGCGCTGACTCGTCGCGAACCACGTCGGCGGGACGCGTGACCCTGGGTCGGCAATACAGCCCTGGAGGTGTCTGTCGCAGACGTGTCTTGTGTGACGGTCTCGCGCCGAAAACACGGCGACTTTGTTTCGCAGCACGATAATATCCGTCCCGGGGATGCAGGGTGGCTGTTGGGAAAAAAAGAAAAGCTGCAGGTACGGCGAGCGTGGTGCGCGGAACGAAGACGTGGTCCTGGTCCCATGGTGCGACGACTCCACCTTGAGTGGCCACACTTTGGTAGACACCTACTAGACATGTACTGTAATACGTAGAGCGGCTTTACGCCGGCGTGGCACAAAGCCTGTCTTAGACTCTCTCGCTGTGGAGGGCGAGAAGCCACTTCGGACTACGGGCAAAGCAGCTAGGCCAGGGCACATTGCAGGAGACTACCGTCCAGGATCGCCGCTGGGATGTCTCTCACAAGCCGTGACAACCCCGATTCTGGTCTGATACTCTTTGCTCGCCCAATCTCCCATCTGCCGTTTGCCCGTGCTTTGCCCGTTCTTGCTGTTGCTTGAGTGTGTAATTCACGTCAACTTCATGACAATAATATTGTAACGTTTGGTAGCGTGGAGCGCTGTTCTTTTCTTCGTGCATCGGCTGCAGCGCATATTACTCTGCCTAATCGATATCCCCGTTTCCCGACGTGCATGCTCGACCTCCTGCGCCATGCATCGACACGCCCTGTCCGAGACGACTGGCATGGCGGGAATGGCCTCGTCGCGCTCGTCGCGGAGCCACAGCTTCAGCAGCGACAAGACGCCCTCGCTGGCCAGCTCCGTCACCTTCCAGATGCCCACGACGGTGCGGCCTGCGCCCGCCTACATTGCGGCATCTGTCGCCTCGCAGACGGTGACGGACCACCACAATGCCCAGCTGCGCGACCAGGACGCCGACACAGACGAGCTGCAGAACGCCATCTTCTCCGAACAGGCATTGGCGCTCCTCAATGCCTTCCTCGACCACCTGCTCTTCGCTTTCCTCTCTAGTGCGCGCTCGCCCGCCCTGACGGCCATCCGCCCCGCCGTGTCCGACGTGCTCAAGCCGCGACTGGCCCGCGATGCCATTGAGGCGGCCGACGAGGAGCTGCAGGGGCTGCTGGCCGGCGAGGACGACGACGAGCTCTCCACAGCGCATCTTAGGGCTGCCGAGCGGTGGGACGTGGAGAAGGTGTGGAAGCGCACCCGCCTGCGCATCATGGTCTACACCCGCCTGGGCGAGCTCGAAGACGAGGACGAGGAGCGATACGTCCAGCAGGAGCGCGGCCTCAGCATGGACGACGACGAGGACGACGAGGCTGGGCTGGTCGCCTGGGCCTCTGCCATCTTCCTCACCTCGGTCATCGAGTACGTGGCCGAGCAATTACTACTCGTTGCGGGCTCGGCGGCCTTTTCGCGCATGGCCGCGCGGATGAAGAAGCTGGCCCAGCAGAACGACGACCAGTCGCAGCAGCTCATCGAGCGTCTGATCATCGAAGAGCCCGACGTGGAGAAGATTGCCCTCAACTCGGCGCTCGGCAGGCTCTGGCGGACGTGGAGGAAACGCGTGCGCTCCCCCATCACGCCCATGTCCCCGCGAGGTGTCCAGCAAGCCCCGAGCTACTCGAGCCTGCACCACCGCAAAGCCAGTCGCGAGACCATCAACACCCTACACAGCGAGCATGAGCCCCTGCCCGAACACCCCCCGACCGAGACCGACATCGCCGCCAACATACCCCTCCCCATCGGCGACAACGACGTCAACGAGATCGAGGTGCCTGGCCTGGCGCCCACATACGAAGACGGGGCGGAGGGCTCAGGCATGCAGACTCCTGTCCAGCGTCCTCAGCGGCCGTCCAGTGTCCTCCTGCTGTCTTCACTGGTGGAATCCTCCATCAAGAGCAACAGGCCCCGTCCCTTGTCAATGCCTCTGCGCCAGGCACCACAGTTCACCATGCCCGCACAAGCTGAGGAAGAGGACACCCCCCTAGAAGCAACAGAGGAGACTGCACAGGATACTGAGGATCAACAAGACGAGTCGTCCGAGGAAGATGCCTCCATGGTGGCATTCGCAGCGGCCACTGGCATGGGCTTCCGAAGGAGCGCAGTTGGGCCGTCGCAAGAACCAGAGCGTCAACCCGAGAAGGTTGAGGAGACTGAGAAGGCTGAGCAGGCGGAAGAGACGCACGAGGCGACCGCTGAAAGCCCACCCCAGGTTATGCGGTCCAAGAGGATGTCAATCGAACGACCCGGCCCACCAGGACTGGTCCGCACATTCTCAACCCGCAGCTCGAGCCTCAAATCGCCTGTAGGAACACCCTTGGCAACACCGAAAGCCCCTGTCTTCTCTGAAGCGCGATCCTATCTCGACGACGAGCCATCAGACGACGAGCCAGAGCAGCATCGTGCCATTGGCGTCGCGCGAACGTCGGACAGCGTTATACGGTCAGCGTCAAACTCCCCCAGCGATTCGCCCCATGAGCGGAGGAGGCCGGGCAGTGGGGGCTACGTTGAGGTGCCACCTCGAGACTTCACGCCGACGTCGCTCACGTACAGCAATACCCCCTCGCCTGATAGCAAGCCCAACGTGCCAGACCGTTCCGTGGCACGTAAAGAAGTCAACCGAAGGTCCTTCACTGGCGCCGAGTTAGTTCCAGGCCCCGCCGCGTACGAAGGTCCCACCAGCGCACCGAGGAGACAGGATCTAGCTCGCTCAGCCTCGCGTGGTTCGTCACTACCAGCGCTGCAGGAAGTGGAGAGCAACACTCCACAGCACAAAAGGAAGACGCCGTCGATTCACACGAGCCGGAGCGTGCGTACCTCGGACAGTCCCAGGCGTAGCCCGACTTCTGCGACCGATACATCCGAGCGACGAGCGACGAACCGCCTATCTACAGACGACTCGGCTCGTTCTCCGCATGTGGCCGATAAATCCTCTTCGGACAACTCTTCGCTGAAGCGCGGTACATCGACCTCGTCCTCTCTTCGGAAGCAGGGCGCTTATCCCGTCGTCTCAAGCGGACGGGAGTCTATTGGAAGCCACCGCTCCCGTGGACTGAGTGGTCGCATGTCTGAAGAAGACCGCGCCCGCGAATTCGACTCTTTGGTCAAAGGACAGGATACGGTAAAGTTTACATTAACCCCCGAAAGCGTGCGAACTGCCGATGTAAGTCGTGCTTGCTTCCCTGGATCACATGTGCTAATGATCTATAGAAGGAATCCCCCGTTGTCAAGAAGGCGGAACTACGCAGGCCCTCCGCATCTTCCGTAACTGTTTATCCCCGCGTCAATGCCGAAGACAAGTCGTTTGGCACTGCGAATCTGCCCAACACCACAGCACCGAGAGCCAAGGGACCTACCGCTGCCAATCACAAGCCTTCACCCAGCAGAAAGGTGATTACCAGGCCGCTCGCAAGAGATCCGAAGATCGAGTCTGAGTCCATGCGTGACTTTGCTGACTTTATTCGGTCGACTGGTCCTTCTCCTGGACAAGAGAAGCCCGTGCAGCCTTTTGTCAACATCAGTGGGAATGGCCAGAAGTCAGGCAACCAGTCGACTTCGTCTCTCGGACGTAAAATGTCCATGTCGAAGCAATCCAGCAGCGCCAACGGCTCAGCCACGCGAGCCCGCCCAAACATGGAGCCGCGCAGTCCCGCAGGTCTAAGCACCGGCAACGGCGACCTCATCGACTTCATCCGCCAAGGCCCACCCGACGCAAACCACGGCCAACCAAGAATCCCGCGAAACGTAGCGCCCTTCCGCACAACCGTTGATTCCGACCAATTCGAGACCATGCTCGGTGGCCACGGCAACGTCGAATCAGCATACGGCTCTGCATCCTCAACCCTGGAATCAAAGGACAGCACGCAAACGATCAACTCCCGCACCGGCCTAATCCCTTCCCCCAGCGTCGTCCAGCCCGCTTACTCCAACCAACCCCAACAACTCACCGGCAGCATGTCCGGCCCCGATGAACCGCACATCACGCGCACGCGTCGCCGCGTCAAGGACCCCTACGCCATCGATTTGTCTGACGAAGACGAAGACGATGAGGATGAAGATGAGGACCAGTTGACGGCTCTTCCTACGCCGACTAACCAACATCCGCCCCAGGTGCAGGTGCAAAGACACCAAGCACCGGAGACTAAGCGACCGCAAGCCCCGCGCCAGGAGAGTCTGATGGATTTCTTAAATGGGATGGACCCCCCGAGTACTAGTAAACCACAGCCTTTTATGCTGAGTGAAGAGACGATTGCTGCTGCGAGGGCGAGGGCGGCTGCGAGTTCGAATACGAGTCTGGGGTCTGCGACGTCTACTCCGCGGAATAACTACGGCAACGGTAACAATCAAAATAACAGCACTCCCGCCTTTGGTTCCATCTCCTCATCCAACTCCTACTCCGGCTCGGGTGCCAACAACAAATCCAGACTCCAAGCTCGCGCCCCTGCTGTCGCTGATAACGTACGTGCTGGTGGTGGCGGGGGATCAAGAACGGCAACGAGTGACCTCGCCGACTTTTTGAAAAATAGCGGACCCCCGGAGATGCCGGAGCCTCGGCAGCAGGGAAGGAAGGATGAGGGCAGGGAGGAGAAGAAGAGTAAGAGGTTTTGGAGGAGGGGGAAGACTTATGGGGATTTGCCTTAGGTTTGAGAGAGAGGGATTGGGGAGGGGGAGGGATGGGATGGGGTGAGGGATGGAAGGTGGAGGGGTTTTGTGACTTTTTATTTCTTGGATACCCGGGTTTTGGATGGTGTTGGTTCTTGGATTGGGAGTGGAGGGTGTTGAATGTAGATGTGTGTATTTGTTGGCCTGGCCCGCTCATATTGACTTGTAATGAATCATGGTTTTTATTTATGGAATGATATTGTTTCTTTCTCTCGTTACCAAAGTTCACGTAAAGGAAGATGGGTGGTGAGATTTATGAGTATTGTATCATTCAACGATGATTCGACGAGACGAGACGAGACTCAGCTCCAAAACGGACTCATACTATCCCCCTGGCTGGAGGTGCGTTGTTGGCCTGATGCCGATGCCGACGCCGCCGTCGTCCCAGCCGTTTTTGGCACACTTATCTTGTTAGCCACTCCTTTTTCCACAAAAGACAAAGTGTGAGGTAAAGGGAAGAATGACATACACAACCTCTCTCAATCTCGCATCCGTAGCCGCCGTACCTGGTGTCCGCGAGTATAAATCTACGACGTAGCCTACGATCTGAATCTCTTTTCGGACGTAAGGACTCGCTCTGAGGGCTTGGATATCCGTTCTGATAGTGGTCTCCGGAGCCGCTGTGAGATGTGTACAACCTAAGCAATCATTCATGCATTAGTCCGCATCTTCCACCGCTTCTCTCATCTGGTTGGAGATAAGAGGTAGACGTACCAGCATGTCCCATCACAATCACCAACCCCAACGGCGCAGATTGATCAGCCCAGTAGATGCTGTTTATAACTTCCTGCGTTACGCGGCTGCCGGAAGTGGTGTGGATTGTGGCGTGCGTGGTGTTGAAGTGGTGGGATGGGTGGAGGAGGGCAGATGTACTGGATTCTGTACAGCAGACTAGTATCAATTCAAGGTTAGCAGGCAAATTATGCGTACGTGCGCTTTCGACGGGGAAGGGTTAGGGTTGTATGGCTGGGAGAAGAGAGAACATGGTTAGTTGGTTGTTTACTGACCGATGAATAGACTGCCGGAGGTCGACATGACTGCGGAGTGGTGGAGTAGCAGGTTAGATAACGGTGTGTATATTGTTATAGAGGAGCTGGGTAGAACAAGAAGAAGGAGTACAATGGAAGTTTATGTACGGCGGATGATCTCTTGGTATACAATGAGTATTGTCGAACTCTGAGTGATGATACCGTTGGTGCCTCCTTCTCTTATATGGTATCGGATCATGTTAACCTTGGAACAGTCTGGTGTCTCATGAACCATCCATCCGAAGTCTCCATCACCTATCACCTACCCACAGCGTCCACGTAATCAGCACATATCCACAAAACACCGCCACTCCCTCTCTTACTCCCTTCCAAGGTTTCTCACCATCTACAGCTGACCAAGCACAACATCTTACCTTGCCTCTTCTTTTTCTTTTTCGCCTCCCGCTCGGTGAGTACGATTGAAGTTGATTACACATGCCTTACTTTTACTCTCCCCCAATATCCACATATCGACAAGAGACAGGAAAAGGAAAGGCCAAGATGGCGTGCATACATGCGTACACGCATGCGCGTTCTAGACGTCCTGCACGTTGGCGCCAATGTAGGTATGTACAGATCGGAGATATGTATAGTGAACTAGTATGCTTAGTTCCTTCCCGAAGCAAGCGGCTTGTCTACGCGAGAAAACCGGTGGCCGATGCCGTACTCACAAGCATCCTCAGCGCGACTCGATGAGTAGATGGATGCATGGACGGACGGATGTATCAACGCCAGAACTCTCTGCTATGTTTAGCAAGCAACTCAAATCCTCACCACCCTCACCCAGTAACGCATTCTTAATAACGCCATACCACCTTTCACTCTCCTCTCAACAACTCCATCCCAAGTCCTCTCGGCCCCGAACTCGGATATCGCATCGCAAAATGCACCCGCCCGTCTCTCAAATCAACCTGTATGGCGCCACCAACTTCCACACATATACCCAATCCCGCCTAGTCAGGTACATATGTATTTGTGTAAACTCGCATTCAATTACAAAGCCATCCATGATTTTCATCTTCCTGCATGGCGTCATACCACCCCTCTGCGCCATGATGACGCTTTCCCCGAACAGGAAAGGCACGATGTATGCAAGCCACGGAAATGGGTTAGTGGGGTAAGCTGACGGGGTGCTGAATAAGACGGTGATGCTGTGACGTCTACGTGGTTGATGTAGTTGTTCGGGTATGTGGGAAGTGGCTCGGACGAGGTGTGTAGTGTAGATGCATATGCTGGAGTGGGGGTTTCGTGGGTGGTCTGAGTATGCGGTTTGAGTGTGTGTTGCTGGCCGTGGTTTGTCAAGTCTCGGCATTAATGCAATATCACCTAGGTACAGATAGGCGAGATATCTGCATTCGAATCCACACAGCGGCACAGCAGCTACTCGCATCGGCACGGCCATAACATCCCCATCTTCAGCACGTTAACAAAGAACAACAACATTCCCGTAGATACGTCGCTTTGGGTGCATTAGCGGGGCAAATGAATGCAAGGCAAGCAGCAAGGGTCCATCCATTAGCGATGCTCTGCCCCACTTCCGTGGCTGTGGCTTGCAGTATGCAGCTGATCGAACGGATCTCCAACGCTAATTCACGCATGCATACGGCGGGATTGTGATCTTGATGGTGTTGTGGTTGATGACTTTGCAGTGACAAATATGATGGAACATGAGCATGGGGAGGGGGCAAAAAGGAATGGGAGGTTGGTCATTGATTGTGGTATTGATTGTGGTGTTTGTAATTACTGTTTAAGGCTATGGGGGATGTGATGGATGGTAGTGTTGTCTCTGATTTCTTGTTCAAGTGTTTACTTCGCTATCCAGCGATGTTGGAGGTAAATGCTGTCCTTGTATCTTCGCTGCGGGGTCTTGCGAAGGTTATGCAGTTTCTTGTCGGGCGGATGAAGGCTTCGGTTGCTGATTACAACGACGCCTGTCTGCGACCCGATGGATACAAACTTGAGCCCGGCGCATACAGTGTCCTTCGTCATCTCGATCCGCCAAACGAAAAAATTCTCGACAACCTTCAAGGCAGCGCTTTATACTGCGGCGGCAATGATCGCTCGCTCCCGTCCGCTGATAGGACTCGAAGCGGTATCGCGATAGTCGTAGAATTTACCTCCGACTTGGGCTGATACGGTGGCGGCGCTTCTCCGTGCTCGTCCAGTCCCTCAGTTGGGCGAAGGAGCACAGAGTCAGTGGCCCTGCATCGTCCGTGTAGGAACCTCCTTGTACCAGGCCAGGCTTCCACGCCTCCCGCTGGTGCTTGTTGCCCGTTCTGACGCCGGATTGTCAAATGACGGACTTTGCGGCGGCGTATGAGCCATATCGCGACGAGGATGAGTCCCGCGAGCATGCCGAGTAGGAGGTAAAAGTACTTGTAAAAACTGGCATTCTGGCGTTCTTCGGGGTAGAGTTCGGCGTCGTCCTTGTCGTCGCCGCGGCGGAAGATGCTTGGTTCAGCCGCTGAGGGCGTTTCTGCGAGCAGACTGAGATAAGCCATTGCGTTGGTTGAACTACAGTGAGTGTAGTGTGGGTATTGAGTGGAAATAGCGAAGCATTCGTAAGGTTGACCCAGTGAAACTGTTGCACGAGGGGCGAAGGTAGTGATTAGGGCATGGGCGAGGTAATCGTGAAGAATGGGCTGTTCACGGTTGTATCGCCTGCATTGTCAGCAGGGTTCGCTACTTCTTCAAGTAGCTGGTGAAGTAGGCGCGAAGGAGCCATCTTTGTGTGGCATCTCATATAAGAAGGAATTGAACAGGTCTGCAGCCTTCATCATGATAAGCACATCCAAATCTTATCACCCACCGTCATTGTAGGCTCCAGGTTGTTCGGCGTTATCATGGCACAAGGTGGAGTGTTGAAGTGATGCAGCGGAATCATCGGAATGGCGTGCTGGGGCTTGCAGATGATGGCGCCAAGCAATCGCGTCAGTTGCGCGCTCGCACCCTGTTGTCCAGTCGTCTTCTACTTAGCCCACCATCACCCCGCAACCTCGCATCCACACTCCAACATGGTCAAAGCTATCAGAGGTATGTCACGCCTCCCCTACCAATTCTCGCGATACTGATCTGTCAGGCACGCTCGTCAAGTGCGACGCTTCCATCAAAGCCATGCTGGTGGACATTGACAGCAAGAACAACAACGAATACATCATCGAGGAGCTCGACGAGGAGCACATTTTGGTCAAGGAAACGAGGATCAATGAGCTCAAGGCCCGTTTGAATCAGGTAGGTGTGGTGTTCATATGGTGTGGTCACTACTGACAGTCACAGATGATGAGAGAACGCTTGAAGGAACCAGAGAGTTCGGACTCTGAGTAGACGTCTGGCTTATGGCTCAATGCTATCACGATAAACCTTCTCTCCGCCTCTCTTTTCCGCTCCCAACCGCTCGACCGTCGAGGCGTCGTCCTTACATACCCGCCTTCTGCGCCGCGCTCTCCTGGGAGCCCACCCACTTCGGCCTGTGGTCGACGTACAACTCGGCGTTCATCGACATGTTGTCGAGGATCTTAGTGTCGTCAAGAGTTCCGACCTTGATGATGCGCTTGCCGGCAAAGGTGTCACCTTGGCGCCACATGGTCGAGCCACAGTCGCCGCTACACGAGGTCAGAACAGGACTCGCTATACCGTAACGAATACATACCAGAACATGGAAGTAACATCGTTTCCGCTGTCGCCCTTGACTGTGTGTGCCTTTGGCGTACCCTTGGTGACCTTGAAGCCCTCGTCCGAGTAGACGGCGTTGGTGGAGTAGGCGGATCCTGTGATCTTGCGGCAGTCAAGGCAGTGGCAGAGGATCTGGATACCCCATTAGCAACAGCAAGAGAATTGTTAGGACACCACATACGTTGCCTCCGCTCTCGCCCTGCACCTCGTAACGGACGTTACCGCAAAAGCATCCTCCGGCAGGCATCTTGATAAGTTGGTGGGTGGAAAGTTGGTTGGTGGAGTTGTTTAGGCTGTAAAGGTTGAAAGAGCAAGTGTCGTGCTGGACTGCCTTCACCTCGGGCTTTATACTCGAATCCCTACCCCGCTGTATCGATCGTCAACTTGGACAAGAAGCGCCCTACGCATCCAAGTTCCCCACCACTGGCCTAGCGCCGAGGCCTGATTCGGTTCAAGTCGCGAGGGTCTGCCGCCGACGCATGACGGGTAGAGGGAAGCCGTCCGCTTATGCTGCTTACGGTTGAGGGGCATGTTTGCTGTCATTGGCAGTTCTAGGTCTGGCCATGGTTCTGGTCGGGTTATGATACTTTGCTTGGACGAGGGGCAATTCCAAATCAAACACTCTCACACCCAATGCGGACCGATTGACAATTAGGATATGTTTGCTTGAGCCGACGATGCCGATTATGCCGCACGGCTGTGGCGTGAGACCAGTGCTTACTGAGAACAATGTACCTTGCTTCACTATTTAATCGAGAATGATACACTGCGCATGTGTGTAAGCCACAATGGAACAGCTATGACGTTGCCAGACGGTTTGCGGAGCGGGGTTTTCCCAATGCGGTTACGGCTAGTCGAAGCACGTGAATTCGAGTCAATTTGGCGTTTGCGCGCAGCCCGACCTCTACCTGTGCACTCAGTGAACACCATGCGATGGACGACCTCGCGCTTTGATCAACCCGGGTCGTTGATCGCCTCTACTCCATCTACAACTGCCTCATCGACATGGCCGGCAACGCACCCAATGTCTGGACGCAGATGAACTATGTCCCTCCCCGCGGCCAATGCAACCACAAGCCGTCTCTGCTCGCCGCCAAATGCCCGTGTTTGCGCTTCATGTTGCATCCGCTGAAGGTAGGCCTGGATACCCCACGCCGCCGGTCCATTAGCTAATCAGCATTCCAGTCGTCATCCTCATACGAATGCGACGGATGTGGCCACCACGCCTCCTTCCACACCATGGAGAACAAGACCGAAGACGAGATAAGGAAGCGCTGGGAAGTGGAGGCAAAGGAGCGCAACGAACAACAATCGCAGCAACCGCGGCCCAAGAAACGGGTCAGGGCGATTGAGTACAACAATGAGGAAGGGGTCGAGGACATTTTCAACGAGCTCTTGCTGCAAGAAGCTAGGACCAAGAAGGCTGCACCCAAGAAGAAGACAGGGAGGGCTGCGGGGACCAGGGCAAAGGGAAAGATTAGTGAGATTCTCGAGGACGATGTGGTGGAGTTGGACTGAGTTGGAAGACTGGAGATGGAGATGGAGCTGGCGTTCAGGTTATTGGGCTTAGGCCAGGCGTCGCGTTATGATACCCCGCGCATATATTCGTGCTTTATACATGGAAACATATTCAGTACTTTGGCAGCATGCATTTCTGGAGTTGGGTGGTCGGCCTGCCCTGCTTGGGACGCCAAGGCCAATCAACCGTGAGCGTACCTTGGGCGCAACACCTTTCCTCCTCGCTTCATGGATATGCGCGCAACATGATATCGTAACACCCAACCCTCACTCGACTGCATAATTAATCCACCTAGTGCCTTGCGTACTCTCCACGCCCACATGCATCATGGCCACGCCAACGCCTAAAGACAAAGAAACGCCGTCGCGACACCTCAATGCCTTCTCCTCGCCCGCCCCACGCAGCGTCCCTCCCTCCGGTAATATCAACATGATGTCGTACGACTCGCCCGCGGTGCTTAACATGCTCAACGACGTCGCGAGCTCGGGCATGGGAGGGGTGGGCATGGGCATCACCATGAGCGGGCTGGGCATGTCCAGCTTGGGCATGAGCGCAAGTGCCATGGGACGCGCCGACGAAGCAGAGCGAAGTCGCAGACTGCGCGAGATTATAGACATCATCGGCAAGAAGCCCGGACGCGTCAGCGAGCAGGGACTGCTGGCCCTTTGCAAGAAGATGGACATACCGTGCGAGAAGCACATGGACGAGGCAGGCACCTGGAGTCTCTTGATCGGCGACGAGGCCCTGTGCGACGTCACCTTCAAGAACGACGAGATTGTCAGCGTCAATCTCCAGACCGGGCTGGACGAATCGAGGGCCGATCTCAACTTCGGCGCGACGGGCTCTGAGATTCTCGTGCGCAGCTTGAAGCCTCTGCCCGGCCAGAGCAAGCTGAACGTCACGCTCGAGCGCTTCTCGGAGAGCTTGGAGAAGCTGCTGACGCTCGATAAGCTCGGCTCACCGCAGAACGGCGGGGTCAGTTGCTACAATGCGATTGCGGGGGTCTACACGAGCCTCCGGAAATTGTTTGAGCATGAAAAGAAGACGGAGCTCGCAAACAGGAAGCCTGACGAGCGGTTTAGAACATACAGGGCCGAGCGCGAAGTGCTGTGCAAGAAGAGCGGACGACCCAGGCTCAACGGCGGATCGTGTCTCGGTCTGAGTTTGGAATACTGGATGGATGGACGCTTGCAGCTAGATGGGCCAACTGAGTCTGCCTCGTACCCGGAAGACCATCGCTGGAGTCGCAACAAGATGTATTCACTGACCATCGAATGCGAATCTTCGCCCTCCACGCTCTATACGCCCATACGCATCTCCGACGACTGGATCAGCGACGCTGTTGAGAAGTCAGCCGACGCAGACGCAAATGTCTCCCTAGACAACATGCTGATGAACGCATCTTCGATAGACTGGCTCGACCCAAAGCCGACCTACCTCGAACCCCCCGAGCAGACCGACGATGCCATGAACCTCGACTCCGCAGCTGGACGCCTCCCCAACGTACGCTTCGTCGCCAAGTTCAACCCCCCTCTCGTCGTACCGCTCGCTGTGCACATGCAGCTATACCAGATCGTTGGCATTGAGCCTCGCACCGACGACTTCCGTCCTACCACATTCGCAGGCCTAGCTCTGAGGCCTGGCGAGGTAGATCCAGGCATGTCCAATACAACAGGCGACCGCACCCACGAGATTCGCAGCTCGCGGAAGGTGCTGGTGCTGGAGCAAGACGCATCGGGAAACGACTTGGACAGACGACACGACATGAGTCTCTACATACCCAAGCTAGAATACAGCCGCACGCTAGAAAGCCTGCCCTTCAGCCATCCTAAGCAACTCGTCGAGATGTTGCCCGTGCTAAGACAGTACGCGCATGTCACATCCCTCATACGAGACTGCTTTTACCTCGCACCCGAAAAACCCGTTCCCACCCACAAGCTTGGCCAGCATCCCACACCAACAGCTGCACCGCAGACGTCCGCGCAGGGAGACCTACCTCGTCTCCAACTCGACGTCACTCTAAGCTACAACCCGCCCACACCACGCTTCACCCTGCACGTCCCCCACCCCGAAGCCGTAACATCGTCCCCCGACGTCGCAGACCTCATCTCCAACCTCCTCTCCTCCCCCTCCGCCCCGGTCTCCACACCAATAACATACAACGCGCCCCTCGCCGTCACAATCGACATCCATCCCAACGGCGAGCTAGTTGTTGTCGAGCAAAACATTCATGCCAACCAAGCTTCCTCCAGTGACGAAACACAGTTCCAAGCAGAGCAACTAGACCGGAAACTGAAAATTATATCTCGAGTACTAGACGCAGCGGATGACCTGGGTGTTTGGGCAGAGTGGTTGAGGAAGGAGGCACTGAGGAGTAAGAAGAAGGATTAGGTGGACTTTCTGCGTGGACCGGAGGTCTATCAGAGTGAGGAGGAGATGGCGGATTGGCGGGCTTGGGCGAGAAGCAATGGCTGGGATGGGGAGAGGTGGAATGGAGGGGTGGAGGGTGAGATGGGACGGGACTTTTTGAGGCTGGGTGTTCGGGAGGGATGGAGCTGGAGCACGTCCTACGCGGGACAGATGCGACACTTTTGAGAGGGGGCCTAAGGTATGCGACTTCAGATGCATAGGCTGTCAATGGGAATGGTGTTGTTAGAACATTCTTAGAACTGGAAGGCAGAGATAGCATGGCTGTCGTGCATGAGATGTGTAGGAGCAAAACGTGCTATGCCGAGCCTTTACCCGCGGAACGGATTCCGATGACATAACTTCGCCTCGGCAACTTCGTTTACACCCTACATGCTCCAACGTCCTTGTTTCCAATGCTAGATTGATGACATCTGTGACTAGCTCGACCCCTACTCCGCCATCGTTGTCACCATGCCACCACCCACCTACGACCACTCCACCTCCAACATCCACTCCCTCCTCTCCTCCCTCATCCCCCACAACATCTCCAATACCCTCGACCTCTCCACCCGCTCTGCCAAATCAAACACCCCTTGGTCCCCCGCACCGCCAACCCACACACCCTTGATAGTCTTCTTCCCCCAAACCACCGCAGAAACATCGATCGTGCTCAAAGCATGCAACGAGCGCCGTATAGCCGTGACGCCCTTTTCCGGCGGCACGAGCTTCGGACAGGCGCTGGGGAATGTGAGGGGGGGCGTATGTGTGAGTTTTGAGAAAATGAGGGGGATTGTCAAGGTGAATGAGGATGATATGGATGTTGTTGTGCAGCCGGGGGTGGGGTGGGTGGAGTTGAATGAGGTAAGTTCTGGCTGGATGAAGGGTGTGTGAGATGTATACTGACGAGTATGTCTACCTCTGTAGAGGTTGCGGGAGAAAGGGTTGTTTTTTCCTGTTGATCCCGCGCCGGGGGCGAAGATAGGTGGGATGGTATGTTATCAATCCATGGCAATCCGATGGGTGCCCAGGTGTGTTGCTAACACTGTGACTGAGGTAGATAGCAATGTCCTGCTCCGGAACAAACGCCTACAACTACGGCACCATGGCCGAAAACGTCATCTCACTAACCTGCGTCCTCGCCTCCGGCGCCATCATTAAAACACACCACAGACCCCGGAAAACATCTGCAGGCTACGACCTCACGCATCTCGTTATCGAATCCGAAGGTACACTTGCGCTCGTCACGGAAGCGGTGCTGCGTCTTGCGCCGATACCGCGGAATTTGCATGTTGGGCTAGCTACGTTCAAGACGTTTCAAGAGGGTGTCGATGTTGTTGTTTCGCTGCAGAAACTGGGTCATCGGCTTGAGGCGTTGGAGTTGGCGGATGGGCCGCAGATGCGGTGTGTTAATGTGTCTGGTCTTGCGCCTGCACGTATGTTTGAGGAAGTGCCGACGCTGTTTTTTAAGATTGCGGGGCCGTCGATGTATAGTGTGCAAGACCAGATCGCTGTTATGCAGGAGCTATGTAAAACACACGGCGCATCGCATGTTGAAATCACGAATGAGGAGGAAGCGGTGGGTGTGATCTGGGGAGCGAGGAAGTGTATGGGCACGGCTCTTCTTGCTATGAAGAAGAAGGATACGGATCTTTTCTTACACAGCGACTGCGCAGTTCCTATTTCAAATCTCTCCCGCCTTGTCGCCGGAACTCAGGATCTCATATCCCAAGCATCGATTGCGAATCAAGCGGATTGGTTCTGTGCGAATGTCGGACATATCGGGGATGGTAATGTGCACTCCAGCATCGTCTGCCCACAGGAGCATTACGATGCAGCCATGAGTGTAATCATGGATATCGCGAGGTTGGCGCTGAGCTTAGAGGGTACAGTCACGGGCGAGCATGGTGTGGGGATGAAGTTGAGGGATGCGCTGGAAGAAGAGGTGGGGAGTGAGGGTGTGGAGGTTATGAGGGGGGTCAAGAGGGCATTGGATCCGAGGGGCATTTTGAATCCGGATAAGGTTTTTAGGTTGGAGGGAGAGGAAAGAGAGGGGAGTGGGTCTAAACTCTAGGTTTTTGAGATCGCTGGACGAGGGATGTGTGTTGTTCGAGACGAGATGTCTGTCTATCATGTCAGACCTACCTAGGTATGCAGAACATTTACCACCACCTCTCCTCCTCCCACTCACCCATAAAGAAGAAGCTAACAAGCGTGATTTAGTGGCGTTAAAGTATACGGCTAGTATAGTGACTCGTTACTTGGAGAGCAAAAATCGGAAAGTTCAGTAACTGAGATGTGGAAGGGGTTGCCGAGGCGAAGCCGTCTCGGAACTAGTTCCGCGGGTAACGAGTATCAGCAGAGCAGTCGCGAGGGCGGATATGGCAAACCTCACGACAGCGACAGCAAGATCGAGCAGGCCCTCTACGACGTGTAGGAGCCTGAAGACACCTCGCTGGAATCTACACTTGTGCTAAACTTTCCTAATCGGGTAATTTACTAACATGTAGGTTTGCCGCGCTTTTTTGAGGTTTGTAGAGAGGTTTATCTTCTGTTCACAACGTAACAATATTCTGCCATTACAACTTTGCAGTTTCCTTCGGGTTGCCAGTAGCACCAGCCGTCTTCAGCTCATTCCACAGTCTCAAGCCTTCCTCCAATCGAATGTCTTCTTCGATAGCGACATTCCCATCCTTCTTCAGCGTCCTCAACTGCATTGCATGCTGTGTACCCCAATTCATCTCTTCGCCTTTCAAGAACCTGCTCAACGGCTCGTGAAACGTCTTCAACGCGATCTGCTTCTCCTCTTCGGTCAGGTTGTTTCCGTTACCCCAGAACCATATCGCCATGTCGGAGCCGTGGCTAGCACCGAAGTGCTTGGGCAACTCTTTATCAACACATTGCGCCCGCCATTCGATGCGGTATCTCTGGATGAGATCTCCCGCCCCATGCTTCACCAACGCGTTGACCATTCCGCGACGCAGTGCGTGAATCTGCACGTCAGCGTAGATATGACCGAAAGCCGCTTGCCAGCTCGAGTACTTCGACGGTAATTTGCGACTGGGAAAGTAGTGCGACATCAGCACCTTGCATGCTTCGCGAGGGTAATCAGCTTCAAGGCGGTACAGCATGTTATCGAAGCCCGGTCTAGGTGGCCGCCAAAGACCGTAAACATGATGCTCGTCGCTGCATTCGCCAATGACGAGCTTGACGTTGCGCCGTTTCATGCGCTCGGCAAAGACACCATTCGACAGCTCTTCGAGAAGCCCATGCCTTACAAACTCCCCATCAGTAACAGCGCGGAACTGATGCAGCTTGATCCCGTTACTCGCTTCCACAATCGCCCTCGGACTCAACGAACGCAGTTTCGCCAACTTCTCAGCCGGCGACGCAGCCAAATCAATATCCAACGCCCCCAATAACTCGTCGAACTGGTCCTGCGCCTCTCCCAAACTCTTCGGTTGCATACCCGGCCCATTCGACAGCATCAACGCCCTCTTAACAACCGCCTTCTCATCAGCGCAACCGAGATCGTACGACAGCTGATGGAACACCGAGTGCGAACCCGCCGAGTAACCCCCGACAGTAATATTCGCGGCGTCCCCACCAAAATAGCTAACATTCTCATACGTCCACTGCAAAGCCATGCGCTGATCCCAGAAGCCAAGATTAACGCCAAAATCACCAGCAGGACACGAGTCGATCAGCTCCTGGGATGAAAGGAATCCGAATACGTTTAGGCGGTACGCGGGAGCGACGACGACGCATTGGATGGGGGACTCGCTGAGTAGCGCGCGGAGGTCGAGTCCGTTCGGGCTACCCCATTGCAGGAACCCGCCGTCTAGTGCATGTTAGTGTCGGATCTACCACGTGGTGCCAGAGTTTATGTCCCGTGCCAATGTGCGCCAACCGAAGATCTGCTGCGTATGCTGGCTGCCGTGAAACGGCGATGGCCAAGCACTAAGAGGTTACGAGTGCGAAGGAGGAAAATGATTACTTACGGATCCAGAATAGTACCGGCCAACCTCCCCGAGTCAGCTTTCAATTGGTTGAGGTCGCACGTAGAGTCAGGGACATTACCTTCTGCTGGCGATGGCCCGGCTGGAATCCAGATGTTGGTTTGCAGACAATCTTCGTCCCAGGCGAGCTCGTCAAGGGTTGCAGTGTTGGAGCCTGGCTGAGGGCATATTCCACAGCCGCCTGTATATCGTCCTGGGTTCGGTTTTGTGCCGTAGCGGTAGCATGGTGGTAGGGATCGTGGCTTTTGGAAGCGAAAGGGGCCGACGGGTGGGAGGGCGTACGGGACGCCGCCGAAATAATGACACTGGGCTTGGCCGTCGCTGCTGAGATACGTCAGGCCCTCAGCGAAGCCACGAAACTGAAGATCGCGACGATATGGTTTCGACGGCTTCGACATGTTGATGGAAGGTGATGTAGTGCAGATGAGGTTGCTGATCAACGCATGTACCTCGGCTACTGTAGATGCGAAACGCTCAGCCCCTGACGGTGATCATGATGACCATGGCAGCGGGAATACGTCCGTGAGTACGCAACGGTGCGGAAACGAATTCCCGGTATTGGGTAGCAGGATGGTTTGAAGATCATTAATTCATTATCATTACTATGTGCTTCTGTGTAGAGAAGCGTTTAAGCCCACTCAGTATGGTCGCGCGACGCTATACTCTTGTTGTCGGCTGTCACACTGACATGTGTGGTCTTCATGATCGCTCCCTCGGAGCCTTTTCGCTCATGACTCGCCTCATCTGGCAGTATGCCGAGCTCACTGTCGTCGTCCGTCTCGTGCTTTGGCCTTGACGACTTCCCGCTGACCTGAGGCCCTGACACCTGGAGCGCATAGCTTTGTCTTGATCCCTTGCCTGATCCTCCTGTGAGACTGGTTGGAAGCACTTTGCGGAGACCGTTCTCGAATGTTTTGCGTAGCGGCGGCAGCGAGGCTGTGAAAGCGCCAACGAAAACTTCAGCGATGGCGAAAACGCTTAGGTTGACGGACGAGTAGGTTGGATCTGGCGATTCGTTCAAAGACTTCATCTCGTAGAGTTTCAGTGCGGATATAGTGGTTGTGCTTGGAAGTGTTAGTGACGAAATCGGGGTGTCAAGAGGGCTACCTACATGAGACCGCAGAGGAACACTGCGCGGACGCCCCAGATGGTTCGCTTGGGAAGTTGCACCCTCGCAATGTAGATGAGCGGGGCCATGGTGTAGAGCAGATCAGTCGCTATGTTGACTGCAGCACCCGAGTATCCGGAGATGACACGCGGCTTCGCGTCCCAGCAAGACCCAGGTTTCATTCCGGAGACGTCCCAATGCTTGGTGTATGGCGTGCACTCGCCGAACAGAATGACGGTAGGGAAGACGACGTTGACGCCGATATGGATCACAACGGAAAGCCATATGATAATCCGGAAGGTTCGCGAAAAGTCCAGCATGAAGATGTAGGCGCAGACACTCAGCTTGATCAAAGCCATACCGTATAGGTTAAGCAGCTGACCCAGCCAGAGCATGTAGAGGTACGTCTCCATGTTTTGAGGTGTCAATATCGGGTCCCAGACGTGCCTGCCGCCTCCAACTTCAGCCATCTTGTAACAGCATGCTGCGCCTGCGACAGCTATAACCTGAAGCTGATTAGCAAATGCTTGGAACTCTTATTTGATCGCCACTTACTTGTCCCGTCCATAGCAGATGGTCGGTTAGTAGGAAGTAATTCCTGTTCTTCCAGTTTATGCCCAAGCGGAGTAGAACGAATATCGAGCTGAAGATGATCAAGGTGATGATGGGTATCTTGAGCGCATTGGAGCGGTCGTCCAAAGGAAGTCCCTCCGGTGTTGTGGGTACACCCATTGCGAATGGGAGAATGTAGAGAGGATGAGACACGGAAAGATAAAGATGCCCAATGAAATTGGCTGACCGGAGACCTCTCCTCGAAATGAGCTTCTGCTGATCACCTGGAATGCTATGCAGGCTGATGCAGCAACGGGCCGGGTGGACGTGCTGTTATAATTGCTCTGTTAACGTTCTGCAGATAGCCAGACATAAACGGCGGAGTGGCCGACCGATGTCAAACTCAGCCAATCCCGTAAGACGCAACGAAGCATGCAGGAGGCGGTTAAACCCTATTCCTACGACTGTGCGCCGAGGACTAGCGCACATCACCGTGGCAGGTCGTTAGTCAGGATGCGTTCATGCTCGGACATCGTGGTCCAGATCTCCACTGATCAGCTTGAAGGAGGCAGCCGAGCCGCAAGGCTCTGCAGATCAAACATATCTTCTCCTCCTCTCGCGCAAGCCCTGAAAGAGCCAGAAGCGCACGGTCGGGAGACCTTCCACAGCCACTCCCAATTTGTCTTCTGGAAACAAACCCAACCAAACTCTTGCATGCTGCTAACCCACAGCCCCGAGATTAGGTTCATCGTGAGTTGTGAGCGGAGCCAGCAAGCACGACATCTGTCACTCGGTTAGCCGTCGTGGCATGGGCTAAGAGGTTATGATGCGCGCCGTTGCACGAAGGTTTAGCTCAGGCGGGCGCAGATGCCAGGCCATCAGGCTCGAAACGGCCTTGTCAAGTAGTCCGGCCGAGCCACGGAAGCGGAGTGAATAGACAGCGAGGGTATCGAGTGTCCATCATTCCGAGCGCATCAGATACCCCTTGCACTCTTCAATGTGAGCAGCCGACGCGAAGTCTCTGTGACGATGTCATACTCAGTGAACGGGCCGAACGGGTGCGATAGCACCGGCTTGTTGCTCGCTCTTCGCTACCGCAATAATTCTAGTACAACGTGGGTGCCCGCAGCAGGAAAGATTGACAAGCGACGGTTGCTGAGCTCGTGAAGTTAGTGATGCCGCCAGGTTTCTGTCTTTGTGTAGCTAGTGTCAGATAGGAGCGCGCCATACCCGATTGAGCCTTCTCCGGCCGCCACCGATAATCTAGACGACTGCAAAACCTAAACACTCGTACGCCAAAGCATAACAATCGACCTAATGACGACCCGCAGCAGCGCGACAGCAGGACGAGCACGATGGAGATTTTCACCAGTACGGCTCTTGCAACATGACAGCCGTGGCCCCTGCATTCCCGCGGTTGTACCAGGGGCCGCCGCTTCGCCATCACCACACCGTCGGTCTCGCCCTTTGAACTATCGACTACTATGTGGTTCGCAGGACAAAGCGCTGCACCATCCAGGGTAAAATCTCCTCATCAGCTCGCGTGGCGCACGTCATACGACGATGCACGTGGTTGTTACGGCGGGAGCTGATAGTCGACGCCACGTTAGCTGTACTTGCCAGATATCGATGACTGCAGCTCTAGGCTTGTCGATAGCCGTGCAGATTGACAGGATCATTAGGCTTACCGTTTCTAGTCGACTACGGTTATACTTTTCAGCAAGGTTTGCGGATCTCTACGTTGTTCCCGTGCAGAATCGATCCAAGAACCCGGGCAACATGCTACATTGAGCACTGCAGAGTCTGGTACCTTTGAGCGCCAGTTACTCCACGAGAAAAAGTCGTTACGCAACGCCCAGCGGGTAGTATAGAACTGCCATGGCATGCCGAAGCTCGTTTATTCGCAAGCGAAACACTTCAGTAGCTTCGCGTACTCAGGGGTGGCCCGTCCGTCAGCTACCTGACAAACGGATCAGTCCTGGTATAAACCTTCGACGATCCGTAATCTTAGCTCTTGACGCACCACTCACCCTTGCGCCATTCGTCTGGTGCTCATACACTCCTTCTGTTGATAATTTCTAATATGGCTCTTCTTCTTGGGGGCATTTTCTACCTCGCTTCTTTCGTGCCGCGCGTGTTGGACCCGTCCTCTCCGGGTAGCAGCAGCGGCGAGCCAGATGTTGGAGGGCAATCGTTCGACTACATCATTGTTGGTGGCGGGTTGACAGGCCTGACAGTTGCCAACCGCCTCAGCGAAGATTCAAGCCGTGAGTAACCACATTCGGCGTTGACATATGGACCTAACATCCACAGGTACTGTTCTCGTGATCGAAAATGGGTATGTCGTCGACGATGTGACCACTCAAGTACCTAGCTTTGCCAACAGTGTTAACGCAAATCTCATGTACGACATCACGTCTGCATATGACACAAACACAGGCGGTACTCATCCTGTCTGGGTGGGTAACGTTGTTGGTGGTGGATCTGTAGTCAACGGCATGGCCTTTGACCGAGCATCTGCCGCCGACTACAATGCGTGGGAGCAACTTGGTAACGCCGGCTGGAACTTCAACAGCCTCTTATACTACTTCAAAAAGTCGACCACATTCACGCCACCCACCTCGAACAACGTGAAGAGCTTTGGCACTACGTATGATGCATCCTACTACGGCACCAACGGGCCGATACAAGCATCGTTCCCAAACTTCGAGTACGAAGACACAAAGACCATCTGGGCAGCATACAAGCAATCAGGCGTGCCTTTGCCCAGAGAGCATGCTTCAGGGAGGGCAGTGGGTGCTTTCTGGATACCTACAGCTCTGCGACCCAAGACCCAGACACGATCGCATGCGAAGAACGAGTACTACGACCCTGTCAAGACCCGCAGCAACCTTGTACTCGTCACCGGAAAGACTGTCAACGAGGTCCTCTTCGACAAGGGCGTTTTCACTGGCTACACAGCCAATGGTGTCCAGTTCAAATCGCGAACGGATGGCTCGGTCAAGCAAGTCTATGCGAAGCGCGAGGTCATCATGGCTGCGGGGTCAATATTCACACCACAGATCCTTCAGCTCAGCGGTATTGGGCCGAGCGATGTCCTTAAAGCTGCAGGCATCAACGTGAAGAAGAACATGCCCGCTGTCGGCGCCAACATGCAAGACCACCCCAATGCCAACATGGTTTTCGACCTCAAGAATCTCGCTTTCCCTAACATTTATAGCGGCGCAGACCCCACTTACAACGCCACAGTGTGGTCCGAGTACGACACCAGCAGGAGCGGTCCCCTCACGCAAGCCCATGGCAGCAGCCTAGCCTTCCTCAGTCTGCAGACAGTTTGCGATAACTGGAACCAGATTGTGCAGACTGTCAAGTCACAGAACGTCCGTAGCTACCTTCCGTCGGTATACGACGACTCTTCTCTGCTACGCGGCTTCACAAAGCAACGCGACATCATCGCTGGTCTCCACAGTAGCGCCGACGCCGCCGTTGGCGAGTTCCCCATGGTACCATTCGGTCTCGCTATCAGCTCGCTGCAACGCCCGCTCTCTCGCGGCACTGTCACCATCAACCCAAGCAACAAATACGGCAACCCCGTTGTCCAGTTCAACGCCCTTCAAAATCCAGTCGATCGCCAGATCATCGCCGGAATGGTCAGATGGACGCGCAAACACTGGGCCAACCCTGAGCTTAAGAAGTTCTCTCCCGTCGAGCTCACGCCTGGCACCCAAGCGCAGACGGACGATGAGATCATCAATGACCTTGTTCAGCAAAAGGCTCTCCAGGCTTCTTTCGCACATATGTCTGGTAGCTGCGCAATGATGCCGGAGTCTCTTGGTGGGTGCGTTGGTAGCGATCTCACTGTGCATGGTGTGAAGGGCCTGAGCATCGTAGACGCGAGTATCATCCCGTTGATCCCCGCGACACACTTGCAAGCGACTATGTACGCTGTCGCAGAGAAGGGAGCTGATATGATTAAAGCCCGTAACGCTTTCGATATTCTCAATCCTTTTGGTCTTCCTACTTTCAGAAGTTTCTTTCGTTGGTAGGAGTAGACTGTAGTGTAGAACGAAATCACATACTTTCCTTGATGCCATCAAACTTCATATGAGATTACTGCGCCCGTGATGCTACATGATCACCTTCCTCGTCTACGTCACTTGTCGTTGTTCTAGTCCGCTGCATCTGATCGTCAACACAACTGAACTAGCTATGAACTGATAGTTCCCTCCAGAAGCGCATGCGCCAGATATGCTCTAGTGCTTCGTGTGCACGGTCACCCCCGCACGTTCGTTCGCTGCAATCAGGCTAAACACGGGAAGGGTGATCAGGCACGAAGCGGTAGATCTTGAACCGCATGCTTGGGAACAGTGAAATGACATGCATAACCCAACAAGAATAGCTGCGAGAACAATCACAACTATACGTACGCACTCAAAGGTGCCGAAATCTTATGACCACGTCTGCTGTACCAACCTGACAATCAGAAGTCCCTTTCGCATTCAACCCCATTTAGCCGTCGCACTACCTAGCCCGCAAAGCCCGTAGCGACTTTCGGCACAGCGTAGCCCTTCCAGACCTCGAAGTTCGCGCTCTTAGCTCTGCTTAGGTCAAATACCGCTTGCCCCTGCGCCGTATGCTTCGATACACTAGAAGCGGGATTCGTCTTTTGGGCCGGCGCTGTCGGATTGAATGCGAACCCGAGACTTGGCGCTGTATCTGTAGGCTTGAAAGTCGTGCCGTCGGTCTGAATGCACTTGGAGCAGAGGAATGTGTAGGTCCAGTGCGTGCTGTTGACGTATGTGCCGTTTGATATTGCGGTCTGCGTGAAAGTGCCGGTTGCGATGGCTGGAGAGGCGTATTGACTGCTGGCTGTTAGCATCACTTTGCCGTTGTAGTTGATCATCTTGGGCGTACGCAGTCTTCCTAAAGCTGCCCACTACAGTTTGAGCGTTTGGCCAAGCGACGATCAAGAGCTTGTTGAGCATTCCACCTCCGAGAGAAACACCGCTCCACCCCGTGCCTTTGCCCCCGATCGTCGCAATGAAGTCAGTGTTTCCGGTGGCGTTGGCTGGAAGTGCAAGACCGAAGAACATGCCACTACTGTGCTGGAGGGTGTTGAATGTAATGCCTGATTTGGTATCGGTGTACGGGGATGGTGTTTGTGCAGCCGCAAGTGTTGCGAGAACGCCGATGACGAAACTAGAGCACTTCATCTTCTCGATAAGGAAGGTTTGAGAACAGTGTGTTTCTGAGGGTTGGCGCCAGTCGAAGGCTTTCGCACATGTCTTTAATGACCTTTTTCCTGTAAGTCTGCTCCTTCAAGAACTATAGATACCAATATCATCTCCGCTCCGGATATAGTGCAGCTTTGCAGGAATCTAAAACACATGGAGTCAATGTCTATCCCGCGTTTGAAGCATATCCACTGAGTGCTGGGCTCGTCGCGATACATCCGACTGGGTTCTGGATAGATGATATGCGGTGGTACGTGGTAAAGGATTGGTGGAGAACTGACAGATCCCAAGTCTGCGAAATGAGGGAGATGCGAATTGTTGAGGACGATGAGTGCAGCATATATAGGCTGTTGAGTGTCGGATACGTGTGCTGCGATTCGCCTGGTTTTGGAGATTACCGAGCGATCTGGACATGGCTGTAGTATCGGCATGCATCAAACCAGTAGAGATGCATCTCAACCAGCGAAGAACACTACCGTGAACATCAACTCTTCGAGGAGATGCCCGACCTGAGGTCTTGCTATTGTGATCGAGTGTTCGTGCCGTCACGTCACCTTTGCTTCCTCGACTCATCAGAACGGGCTGGAATAGACGCAGTAGTAGCAGCTTCCTCGACTTATGCGCGCGTAAGCGATTGACAACATAATCATCGATTATCGCAAGCTCTTCGTAGGCATCATTGCGATTCAGTCGCGCAAGAGCGATCACGAGGATGTCGAATGGAAAAAACAACGGGACTGACCTTGTCAATCATCACCCAAGCAGCTCGGCGTCTGACCTCACGGAGTGCGGGTAGACCATTCGATTTGGTATATCGCTTTCATCGATGGATTAAGATGAATATATAAGCCAGTGGGTATCATCGAAAAGGTGTCCAAGTCTGGTATAGCCCTCTACCAGTATCAAGAAAGGTTCATCGATGGAGAATAGCTGAAGATGATGTCGCTGTGCTGCTGAAGCTGTCGTTGCCGTCACAATCGCGTCGTGTACGCCTCTAGACCACGAGAATACGACGCGGTCGTCGACGAGGCAATGAGAAATCGCGTGCTGGAGCGATTTGCATACCAGCCCTAGCATGGGCCCGAATATTGGTTTCCTCGGTTGGGTACGCTTCCGGCAGACGATGATGATGACGGAAGGAATTCTGGGGGCTGGGATCGCTTCTGGCCCCCACACCACCCATTGATGCCTGCTTAGTCAGCATCGCTAAAGCATCCCGAGGTCTCTCGGACGAACTTCTGGCCTCAGACATCCATCACCTAGGCACGGTGCTGCAAGCCACATCAACGCCTACTCGCTGGTAATTTTTGAGAGCTCTGTCGTCAGACGGTATCCTTGAATCACGCGACGTTTAACAATGGCCTGGACAAGGAAGGTTCTCTTGCGCCGCGTTCTTTCTCCACTTGCATCTCAGCCTTACCACTGATGAGACCCGCTAAGGCTTCTGTTGCCACATCGTCGCATTTGTGCACTCTACAAGATCATGGCCGCACCGGAGCGGACGACTCAGAGTATACTCAAGAAGACCTTCGTTGATCCATTTCGGCTGCAAAAGCTACGACGCAAGTCCAGTGCACCCACTGCCGCGCCCGCCAGTCCGCCGGCAACACCCGACCAGGAGGATGACCCACTGGCAGCGTTACCCTTACTGCAGTATGGCTCTCTAGACCCAAATAAGAAGAGCGTCAGGCTTCTGGAAATACTGCCGGCACCTGAACACGAACCCATTCAGGCAACGCTATCCGTCTGCGATCTGGACGACAAGCCAACTTTCATCGCGCTATCCTATATGTGGGACAAGGCTGGCGAGAAGAAGTACATCGACATCCAAGGATCTAAGTTCGCCGTTGGAGAGAGCTTATGGAACTTCATCCAGCAATATCGCAGGAAGCAGTACCTTCGACAGTGCTGCGAGAAGGATCCAGGCAAGGCCGTACCCCTGTGGATTGACGCTATCGCGATTGATCAGAGCAACATACCGGAGCGCAATCACCAAGTCTCGCTCATGCGCGACGTATATACTGGAGCGCAATCTGTCATAGTGTGGCTCGGACTTCCTCAGGGATATGAGGAGTTGGCTTTCATGCTTGCGCGGCATCCTGACCTCCTCAGAGTCGAAGAGTTTCACAATGCTCTGGCGGGTGTTCTCAACAAGCCGTATTGGAGTCGGGTATGGGTGGTTCAGGAGTTTGTGCTGGCACAGTCGGTCGACATTTGGTGTGGCGACCTCAGTGTGGGTGCTGCGACAGTCGAAAGCATCTGGCGCGATGGGCTTGCGTCCGCACCAGTCGCGTCGCCAACAAGCATGATCTATACAAGTCGCGGCTATCTGCTGTTCAAGTACCGGAAGGACTTCAAGCGCACGAAGCAATACCGGAGAGAGATGCTCGGTCGCCGCAACAGCAAGACCCTCAAGTCCACATTTCGCTTGCGCGATCTCTTACAAGCCTTTGCGTTATCAGAGAGCTCTGTAGTATACGACAGAGTCTATGGATTCCTAGGAGTTGCATCGACTGGCCGTGGAGAGAGGATTGTGCCTGACTACAACAAAGCACCCGTTGAGCTACTCGTCGATGTGCTTCGCAACCAATGCCACGAAGATCCTAGGAGAGGAGACTCGGATGATTATCGTTTCCTGACGTTCCTCATGCAAGCGCTAGGCGTCTCGCGTGAAACCCTCGCACAGCATATCCTAAAGCTGTGCCCGGACCTGCAGCCACACCTCTACATTGTGGCTGCCACGCCCTGCATGACCGCCTCGGTCTCGTTCATCAGCACAATTACTGATGTTGGTAATCTCGTCGATCATGACGAAGCCTTCCAACCAGGCACGTGGAGAGCGACCTGGACGCGATCAAACATGCATCCAAGATCATTTTCGACCCAAGACATCCAGGACCTCGGTGACTACGTCACCAAAGGAGACACTCAAATGTTGCTCAGCTTTGCCGACCCTCATGTTGCATACGGAAACCCCGGCCCAACTGAAAAGGTGCGGCAAGCGATGATCGAAGCGTCCGCGGATTTGGTGATCGATGGTCTATCGCGCGGAGTTGTCGAGCAAGGGCATGACGCCAGCGCCAGTCCACAGCTTGGCGACAATGGAAGCAAAGTCATCCGCAACATCATCTCTCGGAGCATGACGGAGGACGCGGCGGCACTATACTTGGCCGCTAGAAGTAAACTGGCCCGGCGAAACACCGACCAACGACACGCACGATACACATCCTTCGTAGGCACCAACGGTATTACTGGATTTGCTTGCGGAGGAGGCCCAGGGTCATACGAGATAGGATCTGGCGACCGCATCTGCATGTTCTCTGGTGTTACGGACGTAAACAACGCGTTCATCCTCAGTCTCGACGCCAGCGGAAGATGGCTGATATCTGGCTTTGCGGTCATACTGTTACCGGAGTTGCGCACTCCTTCGGTTCTACGCAAAGCTATTGGGACTACGACGAAGAGCAATCATGGCACGAGTGAGCCGGGCAAGCAACAGACACCGCTCAACGATGTGACCATGTGCTTTCACTGCCACTTGAGCGATCTGCTTGAGCTCCAACGCTGCCAACTGTTGAGCAACGTTCAGATGAGCCTCTTGGTAGAGCAGACCTTGAGAGATGAAGCGGAGGGAATGATTCACCGATGCAAACAAGATACTGGGGCTCACGCGATACTCGAATTTGGGCTCTAGTGATATATTGGGAACCGAGATGTTGATGCTACAAAGAACGTGTGCTACCGGGCTTAGCCGTCATTTTCTCATGTCGCTCAAGGCCTTCTACTCTTTTTGCGTATGGCTGCAATTCCTCATTTCTCAGCATAGGTAATCGTTTGTGCGGTCATCGACGCTACTGAAGTATGCTTTCATGCAATCATTAGTCGGCCGAAATTCTGTAGAGGAGGCAGACATACCGATGATGTTTAATTGGAAACGTTCGATCCAAGCGATTCGTTCTGATGGCTCATTTCCATTTGCAGTGGAATAATACCTTTGGTATTCAAGAAAGAGCTGGGCTGAAGCGATGAGGATGGAAATCGTCCCGTAGACGATACTGATGATGGTGTTTGTGTCTACGCCGCCGACACGCGCGACAGGGTGTGCGCCGATACAATGCATCACTGGAGACAGAATGAACATACGCAAATATATGATGGTACTGTGTGTCGATTTCTGGCGCGGAGAGTTGCGGTGCTTTATCACATCTCATACGTAGCCTGGTAGCAAGGATGGCGGACATCATAACAGGGCTTCCCGTACAGTCTATTGGCCGATTAAGGAAGATGATTACAATCCACTCCAACCTGCAGCAGGCAAACATCATTTACGTTTCTCATACTGCCTTGTACGATCCTTTCGTGTAACACCATGTCGAAAGCGTTCCATTGGGACGTGGAAGAATGCGCATTAGCACCACAGGGCGCTGTTCAGTGATACACCATGTCAACAGTGTACAGCTTAACAGAAGAAAGCCTGCGGAATATCTCGCTGTGCATGCTAAGCACTGGATAGGTATCCTTACGGACGTACCGATTTACCACATCCCGCACCCTGTGGTGCGTCACTGCTCAGGTTGTCGACTTAGACCAGCGCGGCTGATCGCTTTCAGGCAGGCTTAATGAATCCTATGGCAGTGCGACCGCGGTCGCGCTGGCTGAGCAGATACCGCACGACAGCCAAAGCGTGTGAAAAAGATTGCGACACGAGATGTGTTATTTTCTGGGGTGTCGCGTCTTTCCGCAACAGCGCTTTCTTTCACGCATGCAACGTTTTCGATGATCTACTCTGCATTGTGCAATCTGGCATAAGTACCGGCAGCACGCCATCATACCACGATCGCAATCTGCAACGTGCATATCCACTTCATGTTTAATTTAGTCTCTAGATAAGCTAGGGGCTCTGGATCTGCCCAGGTGATGATCACGCCGTACTTCGGGAAGCTTCGCACTAACGCAGTACAACTGGCCCTGTTCTTCTA